ACATTCACAATGTCCAGTCCATTTGTATTTGGCAAATTTGGAGAAAGTACTGTATTATCTATCCTATCTTGATGAGTCCAAAGTTTTATACCTAAACCACTTTCTATCATAACTTGTATTACCATTCTAAAATATTCTTTTTTTTTTTTTTTTTTGGTTTTTTGAGACAGGGTTTCCCTGTGGCTTTTGGAGGCTGTCCTGGAACTCGCTCTGTAGACCAGGCTGGTCTTCTAAAATATTCTTTTAGGCCTTAAACTGCTTTTTTTTTTTAGATAAACAGCTTAACCTTTTATGTCTCTCGACATTTGTAAACTTACCATCTCCTTTGCAATTTTTTTTGAATTTGGTAGCAAAGAAAACGGTAAAACTACAACTATAACTATAAAGCCTTCAACCCTATCAGAGCCCCAAGGAGGATTAAATATTACTGGATTAAACAGGAAGTGCAGAGCAAGCAGCATCCAAAACTATAGAAATGACGGAGACAGTCACCCAACGTTCCTCTGTAATGCTGGGGCATCTGTCTTTGGCCTACAGTCCTAGAGTATCAGACAGACTTTTCCATGAAATGGGAATTTTGAAGGACTGACCCGCCTTGTCTTGAAAAAGTTTGGCAGTCACCCTCTTTTGTGTCCTGCTTGTGCAGTTTGGAAAGCATGCTGTCATCGGTCAAGGCAAGGGCAGTTTCTTGCCCCAGTGGCTGACTTTACCATATTGAAAGCAACATGTGGAGGTTCTCCCATGCCCATCCTCTTCTCTGAAGTAGATTGGTGATGCCAGGAGCAGATGTGTCTCGATGTCATGAAAAGCCTTATGTTGCCGGGCGGTGGTGGCGCACGCCTTTAATCCCAGCACTCAGGAGGCAGAGGCAGGCGAAGCTCTGTGAGTTCGAGGCCAGGCTGGACCGATAGCCTCCAAAACAATTCAGAGAAACCCTGTCTCGTAAAAACCAAAAAAAAAAAAAAAAGAAAAGAAAAGCCTTACGTTATTAAAACATCCTAAATGCCATATTCTGGAAGTCCCTGAGGTGTTTGAAGACCACCTATCTATCTAAAATATATCTCTGTTTGACCTTGAAAAAACACTTAACATGACTACAAGTTTGTTTGTTATAGATGACTAACTACTAACCTGCATTTCTTAGTTATCATAAACAATTTGTAATAATAGTTTTCAAGGACTAGAACTTTACATTTTTAAATGAGCTGCATAGGTACAATGCCTCAAACAAGAGTAGAAACACATACACAGTATGTTATAACAAAAATAACCTTAAATTTGTATCAATATACAAAAATCCATACCAGGGTAAAATATTTGAGAGTAGTAGTTGCTTTGTAGTCTAAAAGCAGATTCAATAATCTACTCTTTTATCCTATCATTCCTATACTTCCCCTTTTTTCACTAGATAATACGAGAGAAAGAAAGAGGAAGAAAAAAAAAAGAAGGAACAAAAAAAAATAAATGCCTTAATACAACCTCCTTTGTTTAGTTTCCTTCCTGGCCATGACCAATAACAACTTATAACTAACACCCCTACAAAATGACAAACTTTCATAACCCACGGAACCACCAAAAACTATCCATCCACCTGTTAAGAATATGAGTGTCATGCTCTTAAGATTATTTCCTGTTGCCTGGAGGCAACAGCGTCTTTAAGGGACACTGGGATAATGGTCAGGTCCTGGGAGAATGAGCTCTGTCATTTGTTTTCTAGGCTCTCTGTGACAGGAAAGTGCAGGGCTATATAGTCTGTGAGGTTGCAGTGTCTTAGCTAGCTGCTTTTAAGTTGCTCTGGATGTAGATGTTGAGAACATTGCAACACAGGCGTCCTGAGAGGCTGGATCACCTGAGCTACTTAGACACTGATGTCTGGTCCTGCAGTTCTGAAAACATACAAACTTTTAAAGGTAACATACATATCTGCATTAGCACAAGTAGGGAATGAACAGTGTGCACAAATCAACTAAAGATGATTTTCTGTTTTATGTTTGAGCAGGTAAAAGGCATTTGTTACCTTTTTTTTTCAAGACAGGGTTTCTCTGTATTGTTTTGGAGGCTGTCCTGGAACTCGCTCTGTAGACCAGGCTGGCCTCGAACTCACAGAGATCAGCCTGCCTCTGCCTCCCGAGTGCTGGGATTAAAGGCATGCAAAACCAACACCCGGCTGGCATTTGTCAACTTTATAAGTCTGTCTGGACTCTATAACCAAACTGTAATATAAATCTCCATCCATGCCATATGAAAGAATGGCATGTAATAATAAGTCATAAGGACTCTGTAGCTAACAAGATTTATCATGTCTCATCCAGTGTTAGAGTTGTTCCAATAGTAGAGGGATCCAATATATATATCACCATTCTTGTAGTTTTTTTGGTTGTTTCTTTCTTCATGTCTGTAACCAAGATTTTTTGGAGGTTCCCCCTGGTCAAATCTGATCTTTATTAATTTTGAAGAAATCCATAGTTTTTTGTTTCCTATAGAAACAGAGTCATTACCCCCCCCATACAATTCATTTCCTGAGTTCCATTCTGAAGCTAAGACATCCTAAAAATAAATAGGCTAGTTCAATTTAGCAGCCTTTTCTACAATCCAATGTCTCTTAGCAATGGTTGTTTTTTTTTCTCATTAGCATTTAAGAAATTTAAAGTTAATAAAACACTACAGGTTCCAAGTATCCTGTGTTATATTTCCAATTCTTATGTGACTTATTATTTTTATATTATTTTATTATTTCTTTAAATATTTTATTTATTATTTTAAGCTATTTTTTTTGTCAATACCCACTTTCTTTTCTTTCTTTAGCACTTAAGCACATTTTCAAGCATACAGTACCTGTTCAGAGGGTTCCCCCAACCCCCCACCCCAGTCTGGACCCTGCTTTTTACATGGCTCTCTGACTAATGAGCCAAGCCTTAAAAGCCCCAACTACCTTCCGTGACTAACATGACAGGGACTGTCACATAGAGTAAGCATACAAGCCGGTCAGAAAAACTTGGGGGGTCCACACACTGTGGCTCTGTGAAAATGTTGTAAAACTGTTGCAAAGACCTTCTGCACATCTGCGGGAACTTTTGCAGCTCCTCTTAGTGCACCCCACTGGTGGTTGACTCCGCCCCCATCAGGCCCAAGTAAGCCTTATGCGCACAGGCGTTGACAGTGAGCTGCTTGCCTGCCCAAGCTCTGGGAAGTTGTTGGTCTCCCCGGTGAGTAGGGCACCAGCTGCTATGTTAGGTGCCAAATACAGACAGGCTTTCTTATTTCCCAAATAATGACATGGAGACTTATTAAGTTCGAAAGCTGGTCTTAGCTTAGGCTTGTTCCCCACTGGGTCTTAAAATTTAAATGAACCTATTTGTGTTCCATGATCTGCCATGTGGCTCATTACCTCTGCTCCGGACTGTGCCTCCCACTTTCTCCAAGTCTGGCTGGTAAATCCTGCCTCTGTACTTCCCAGACTTCCTGTGTCTGCCCAGAAGTCCCGCCTGTCCTCTCCTGCCTAGCTATTGGCTGTTCAGTTCTTTATTAAACCAATCTAACAGTGCCTTGGCTGAGACACAGTGTCCAAAAATACTATTCCACGAGAGAGGAGGTCAGACGGGAGCATCAGGTCCCTTGGAACTAGAGTTATGGACAGCTGTGAACTGCCACATGGATGCTTGGAATTGAACCTGGATCCTCTGCAAGAACAAGAACTCTTTTCTTTTTCTTAAAGATTTTGTATACAGTGTTCTGTCTGCATGTATGCTTGCAGGCCAGAAGAAGACACTAGATCTAATTATGGATGGCTGTGAGCCACTGTGTGGGTGCTGGGATTTCAACTCAGGACCTCTGGAAGAACAGCCAGTACTCTTAACCTCTGAGCCATCTCTCCAGCCCAAGAACAAGTACTCATTAATAGGTTTTCTGCCCCCTGATGATGGGTTTCTCTGTTGACACAGTAAGCCAAATGAAGCCAAACTAAAAAAAGTACAACAGTAGGCTTGTTTGAGCAAAGCAGCTCTTGGGCAGATTCTCTAGTCCCAGAGATCAAGGCTGGAGACACTGCATATGCAAACTATAGCAGGGAGACTTTATAGGTTGCAAGTGAGTGGTGATGACGTGTCTGCCACAGGCTGGACTTGGATGACTGGAAATTCCAGGGAGGAAGCTGCAGTAGCCGGCAAGAATGCACAACTGGGCTTTTTGGCACCTTCCCTTTGTTTGGAGACTGAGTCGGGAGGGGGCTTAGAGAGAGACAGGAATGGGCTTTCCTCGTGCAGGGGCAAACTGGAGGTTCCAACTGAACACTCTTACCACTGAGCCATCTTCCCAGCCTTTTAAAGTTCATCCCTGTTAGTCCCCAGGGTCACAAAAACTCAAGAGTTCTGTGTCCCCCCTTTTTTTGCCTTAAGTATTTTTATTTTATTTTTAATTATATGTATGCCTGTGTGTGGGTATTTCATATGTGAGGGCAGGGGCTCTTGGAGTCCAAAGGAGGGTGTCAGATTCTCCAGAGCTCCAGGTGGGTCTGAGATATCTGACATGGGTGCTGAGAACCAAGCTTGAGTCCTCTGGAAAAGCAGTATGTGTTCTTAACTGCTGAGACATTGTCTTAGTTAAGGTTTCTATTGCTGTGAAGAGACACCATGACCACAGAAACTACTGTAAAGGAAAACATTTACTGTCATAGGTTTAGTTCATTTTCATCATAGTGAGACATGGTGACATGCAGGCAGACAGGATGCTGGAGAAGGAACTGAGAGTTCTACATCTTGATCTGCAGGTAGCAAAAAGGAATCTGTCACACTGAGTAGAGCCTGAGCATAGGAGACCTCAAAGCCCACCCCTGCAGTGACACACTTCCTCCAACAAAACTTCTTAACAGTGTCATTCCCTATGAACTTATGGAGGCCCATTGCATTCAAACTACTAAAATCATCTCTCCAGACACTGTTTATCAGCTTTTTTTTTTTTTTTTTGGTTTTTTTCGAGACAGGGTTTCTCTGTAGCTTTGGAGACTGTCCTGGAACTCGCTCTGTAGACCAGGCTGGCCTCGAACTCACAGAGATCCGCCTGCCTCTGCCTCCCGAGTGCTGGGATTAAAGGCGTGTGCCACCAACGCCCGGCTTTATCAGCTTTTTTTGAGAAGGCTCTCACTGTGGAGCCCTGACTAACCTGGAACTTGCTACTAGGTCAGGCTGGCCTCAAGTTCACAGAGATCCACCAGCCATTGGCTCCCCCAGGATGGAGTTAAGGCTGCCTTGTGGGTGCTGAGACTAGAATTGGGTCCTTTGCAAACACAAGTATGCCTAACCACTGAGCAATCTCTCTAGCCGCCAAATACTTGAATTCATGGTTGGATTGAGTGTGTGGAAGTTCTTGTCTATTGTTAAACATCTTAGCAGTAACTACAAGCTTGTAGCTTTCCAGAGCTGACACTTAGGACATTGTCTCCAAAGTGCTGGTTCTAAGCTGCTGTTTTGTTTCCCAGCATCCAGACACCAAGCTCCTGCAGAAATGCAGGCTACAAAGTTCCTGAAAGTGATCCCTTTCTGTTCTTAACTCTGTTGTTGTTTTTGAGACAATGTTTCTCTGTATAATCCTGACTGTCCTGGAACTCACTCTGTAGGCCAGGCTGGCTCTGAACTCAGAGATCACCTGCCTCTGCCTCCAAAGTACTGGCATTAAAGGTGTATGTCAATGCCTGACTCTATTCTCAATTATTATGGAGGAAGATTTAGGGATACTCCCTAAGTGACTACTCTAGTGGTGGGCATGTGGACCAAGCCTAGGTTTTTGTTTGACTGCTAAGAGTTACCAGGTAGATGAAGAGCCCAATGAGAGGGGACATATTTGTATGACCTAGATCCAGCTACACCTGAAACTCATTTCTCTGGATTTTCAGTTATGGGAGTAAGTCAAACTTTAGAGGTGCTAGAGAGATGGCACAGTGGTTAAGATCACTGGCTGGTCTTCCAGAGGTCCTGAGTTCAATTCCCAGCAACCACATGATCGCTCATAACCATCTGTAAAGAGATCTGTTACCCAATTCTGGCCTGCAGAGATACATGCAGACAGAACACTATATAATACATAATAAATAAATCTTTAAAAAAACTTTAGAAAAATTCTTAAACACCTAGCCTTTGCACTACGGCGGCTTCCTGTTTGTTTCTTCCTTGAGATAAAGCTGCTAGGTCTCCAGCAGCCCATAGTCAAAAGTGAACTCAAGATGGACTACAGAAACATTTCTGGCTGTTAGATAAAGGCCAGCATTCCTCAGGAACTTGTAAAATGGGTTCCCCATCCCCAAAAGGTGTCATTTTCCTTGCCTCTAGCAGAAGGGACGTGGTTGACATATACTTCTGTTTTCATACCAAAGCCCATGCTCTCTGGCCTTCAGTCCCTATTTACAAATACGTGTTATAAATTTCAAAGCCACCACCCTAGCCCTTCCTACCTCCTCCTCTACCCTAAACTCCTTCCAGCTCATGGCTCATAGTCTAACTATCCTCTCTGCCATCCCCTCCACACTGTTGCTATCCTCTGTTGGTATCCCCTTGCTCTCTTGCCTTTCTCTGTCTCTTGCTGTCGTCACTATGTTCTCCCGCTCTCCCAGCCCGGGCCATGTTCAATTTTCCCTTTGATTCTGGACTCTTCCAGATGTCTCGGGATATTTTCTCTCTCTTACATATGCCCAGGCAGAGGAAGGCAGGTCTCTGAGTTGGAGTCAGCAGGGTAACACAGAGAAATTGTCATACACACACGAAAAACAAACCACCCCTCACTGGAGCAGCCATTTCATTGGTTTCTTTACTGCCCCCCAACACACATACACACACACACACACACACACACACACACACACACACACACACACACACACACACACAGAAACTAGTATGGAACTACTAAGAGACCTACCAGCCTCTGCCCAACAGGTGCTGAGATTAAAGGTGTGTGCCACCATGTTGGTTAATTTTAGGTCGGTTTGACACACACTCGAGTCACTGGAAAGACTTGAGAAAATGCCTCCATAAGATTTGTCTGTAACTCTAGTTTTGTTTTTTCTTTTTCAAGACAGGGTCTCACTGTGTAGCCCTGGATGTCCTTGAACTCACTATGTAGACCAGGCTGACCTTGAACTCATAGAGATCCACCTGCCTCTGTCTCCCATGTGCGCTGGGATTAATGGCGTGTACTACCACGCATGACTTTGTGGGCAACTCTGTAGTGAATTTTCTTGATGGTTGATTTGGGAGGGTGTTACGAATATGGTGCAAGGTGGGACCTTCAGTGGGTTCCGTGGCAGGCGGAAGACAAATGTGCCATCAGGCAGGACTTGTGTGGAGAGTTTACTGGGAGAAGGGAGGAGAGAGAGACAGAGACAGAGACAGTGACCTGCTTCCTCAGAGAAAAGGCAGAAGAAGAGAGGGGAAGTAGGCGGGGATGGTCACTTAAAGGGATCTTTGCACTGTGTACAGAGTCAGGGTACTGCTTGCCATTGGCAGAGGGGTGAGGGCTGTGCCAGGTTCCCAAGAGGCAGGGCCAAAGTGTAACAGAGGATAAACTCACTGTGTGTGTGTGTGGAGGGGGGGTCGGGGTGCCTAGATGGTTTTAAAAAGCAGGATGAAAAAGTCATGTAAACAGCATGCTTTTACGGATTCTCTTTCAGCTGCCTACAGGTGAAAAGTCGTGTAAACAGCATTCTTTTATGGCTTCTGCTTCAGCTGCCTACAGGTTCCTGTCCTGACTTCCCTCCATAATGAAGTGTGACCTGAAATGGAGTGTAAGCTGAAATAAACCCTTTCTTCCTTAAGTTGCATTGTTTTTGTCATGGTGCTTTACTGAAGCACTAGAAGCCCTGTAACAGCCACCTTTCCTCGCCTTCTTGTGACGTCTTAAGTTGCATTGTTTTTGTCACGGTGCTTTACTGAAGCACTAGAAGCCTGGAACAGCCACCTTTCCTAGCCTTCTTGTGGCATTTTGGTTATCTAGCAGCATCCACCTTCCTTTCTGTGGTAGTCGCAACTCTGCTTGCTTGCTTGCTGATTTCTAACATGGATTCAGGAACTTGTCCTGCCCAGGCACTGAGAGAATGAAGGAAAAATAAACATAGTTACACAAAAAAGTTGGAATCAGGTGTACTTGGCTTGCTGGTGGAGAAGCCTCAGCAACCTGGAAGCTCAGCATGTTTATTAAACAGCTAAACAAGGAGGCAGGGTTAGGGGCTGGAGAGATGGCTCAGCAGTTAAGAGCACTGTCTGCTCTTCAGAGGTCCAGTGTTCAATTCCCAGCAACCACATGGTGGTTCACAGCCATCTGACAAGATCTGGTGCCCCCTTTTGGCCTGCAGGCAAACACGCAGACAGGGCACTGTCTAGATAATAATCTTTTTTAAAAATGGTGTGACCTTTTTAAAAGAAAGAAAGAAAGAAAGCAGGGTTATTGCATACGTCTGAACAAGGAGGCAAATTTAGTTCATCTTGGTAGGAGCAGTCTTCAGGCTTTATAAACAAGCTGAGGGGAGAAAGCTATGGTTTCTTCACACTATCAACATCCACATATGGAACAGAGGAAGGTTTTGCCATTTGTAGCTGTTTGAATAAGAATGACCCCCCCATAGGCTTATATATTTTAATGCTTAATCACCAGGGAGCGGAACTCTTTGATAGGATTAGACAGTTTTGGAGGAAGTGTGCTGCTGGGGGTGGACTTTGAGGTTTCAAAAGCCCAAGCTAGGTCTTGTTCTTTTTCTCTCTTCCTGCTGCTTATGGACCAGGGTGTAGCTGTCTACTGCATGTCTGCCTGAGTGCCACCATGTTCCCCACCATGATGGTAATATACTAAATCTCTGAAATTGTAAGGGAGCTCCCAATGAAATGATTCCTTTCGTAAGAGTAGCCTTGGTCATGGTGTCTCTCTCTTTTTTTAATTTATTTATTATGTATACAGTATTCTGTCTGCATGTATGTCCACAGGCCAGAAGAGGGCACCAGATCTCATTACAGATGGTTGTGAGCCACCATGTGGTTGCTGGGAATTGAACTCAGGACCTCTGAAAGAGCAGTCAATGCTCTTAACCTCTGAGTCATCTCTCCAGCCCCGGTCATGGTGTCTCTTAACAGCAACAGAATACTGGCTAATACTGTCCCTCTGAGCCTCATCCTGAGGAGAAGGCTTTCCCATGGGTCTGAGGGCCTAGTCATGGCTCTCTATTATCAATAACACATGCTCACTCAGGTCTCACACTCAGGGCTTCCTCCACTCCCCTCCCTTCTCTTCCTTTCTTCCTGCCTATACAAGGTCTCACTATAAACCCTGGAGAGCCTGGGGCTCACTATGTAGATCAGGTAAATGCTGTAGAATATTATTTTAAGGTGTGTTATATTTGTTTATGCTCTGGAACATTTGTTTAATAATGTAAAGATGAGTTACTTCTGTTTATGCTGCATTTGTTTAACTGTGAAGCTGTGATTCTTTGCTTGTCTAAAACACCTGATGGTCTAATAAAGAACTGAATGACCAATAGTGAGGTAGGACAAAGGACAGGCAGGGCTGGCACACAGGGAGAATGAATAGGAAGAGAAATCTGGGAGCAAGGTCAAAGAACAAGAAAAGGAGAGGAGGACAAAACAGGGGCAGCCAATTCACTGCACAGATAGCCATGGAATAAGAAGGAAAAAAGATACACAGAGAAAGATAGAAGTCCAGAAGCAAAAGGTAGATGGGATAATTTAAGTTAAGTAAAGCTGGCTAAAAACAAGCCAAGCTAAGGATGGGCATTCATAGTACTAATAAGCCTCCATGTGTGGAGTTTATTTGGGAGCTGGGTGGCAGGCCCCTAAAGAGTAAAGAGTCAAAAGAGTAAAAAGTAAAATAACAAGCAACAACATTTTGGCACCCAACGTGGGGCTACAGTAAAGGAAAATCCAACTACAGGTAAACTTCTCAGAGATTCTCCTGCCTCTGCCTCTTGATGGGATTAAAGGCATGCACTATCATGCCTACCTGCACTGATTTCTTGTCAGCGATCTCCCTTCTTTAGGCCCATGTGCCTTCTTTCCATCAGCAGTTGATCACTGTAGGAACCCGACTTCAGCTGGATCCAGCCGACTTGCCCCATTCGTTCCTGAGATGGGGAGCGTGGATTGAGAAAGGGCAGGTAAAGATTCTAAAGAGAAGACAGGCAGAGAATGGAGGCAGAAGATCAGTCCAGTGAATACTGAATGCCCCAAGTTTATTCTTCAGCATTCTAATATACCCATACCAAAAAGGGGAAGAAGGCAAAAGACATCTTTACCACAATACAAGGAACAAACAGACTTGCTTCCTTAATTCTCCAAACATTCAATAACACCTTAGACTAAATCTATCGTTATCTGACCTCAAGGGTTAAGAGTAACCACACTTTAGAACAAAGTCTCTTGTTATTTATATAAGACATCCATACCTTAGACCAAATATCCTTCAGTAGCTAAGTCTTAGATTTTTAGTTCTTATGTCTTTAACTCTGGAAGAGTAAGGATAGTTTTGAACTCTCTGACCTTAAGTCAAGATGAAGCAGAGTCATTTTTATGGGCCTGGGCAGAACATGTCACCAGCACCAGCCAAACATCTGAACTGTACCCCCTAACCACTCTGACTGGTTTAGAGACAGTTATCTGACCTAATTGTGTTAGTTTGAATGTAATTGGCCCCCATAATCTTATAGAGAGTAGCACTATTAGGAAGTGTGGCTTTGTTGGAATGGGTATGGTCTTGTTGGAGGAAGTGTGTTACTGTGGGGGCAGGCTTTGAGGTTTCCTATGCTCAGGATACTCTCTAGTGTCTCAGTCAACTTCCTGTTGCCTGCAAGATGTAGAACTCACAGCTTCTACTCGAGTGGAAGGTCTGCCTGCATGTTGCTATGCTCCCCATCATGATGATAATGGACTAAACCTTTGAAACTGAAAGCCTGCCCCTATTAAGTATTTTCTTTATAAGAGTTGCCCTGGTCACAGTGTCTCTTCACAGCAATAGAAACCCTAAGGCACTGACTTTATTTATTTGTTTATTTGTTTGTTTATTCATTTATTTTTGAGGCAGCATGTCTGACTCCGAACCTATGGAAGTAGTCATCTTCCTCCTTCAGCCTCCAAAATAGGTGTGGTTGTCTGAATGAGATGTTTCTCACAAATCTTAGGCATTTGAATATTTGGTACCCAGGTGTTGGGTAGCCTTGTTTGGGGAGTCTTAGGAGGTGTGGCTTTGCTGAGGAGGTGTGTCACTTGGGACCAGCTTTGAAGTTTCCATTTCTAGAATACTCTCTTTGCTTCTAGTTTGTGGGTCAAGATATGAACTCTCAGCTTCTGTATCAGCTACCTGATGTCTGCTACTATCCATCACCATCATGGACCATTATCCCTCTGGAATCTTAAGTCCCAAATAAGACATTTATTCTAAAAACTGCTTTGCTCATGGTGTTTCAGTGCAGTGGTACAGACAAAATTAATAAAGTAGGTTGGACTGTCAGTGGGGTGAGAACAGGAGACAGAATCTGACCAGGTGTTGTGGGGAGTGCTGGGAAAGGAGCAGTTCTGCCTTTTGTCCTTGATAATCAGTTCTGTCTTGGCCAGAAGCCTGGAATGTTTTTTTTTTGTTTGTTTGTTTTTTTTTGGTTTTTCGAGACAGGGTTTCTCTGTGGCTTTGGAGGCTGTCCTGGAACTCGCTCTGTAGACCAGGCTGGCCTCGAACTCACAGAGATCCGCCTGCCTCTGCCTCCCGAGTGCTGGGATTAAAGGCGTGCGCCACCAACGCCCGGCTGCCTGGAATGTTTTTGTTTCTATGAGAAGACTGGCCCTAATCACAGGCTAGGAATACCAACAATGTTTAAATACACTGCGTTGTGTTCTGGTTTCCTGCTTTTATCTTCTTTCTCCTTTTACATAGTAACTTAATGAGCACAGCTGCCTGGAAGGTCTGTGTGGTCAGATCTTCATTAGGTCCTGAAGCCATGCCCGCAGACTCTGGCCAGACACTGGAATGGATACATATGAACACCTCTGGGTGGGTCAACTGGCCTGTCCAGGTCACACCCTTCATGCCTCAACCCAGTAAGCCCATAAAGCTAATAAAAAATCCTTAAATAGAAACCTTCTCCTCCTAATGGAAGCTCTTCCCACCTCCAACCCATAAAATAAATGAATAAAAATGTAACAAAAATTTTAAATTCTAACTCGGCAGCAGAGAACTGAATGATGTTGTTCAGGGATGGAGGGGGAGCCGGGGAAAGACAGGATACAGCATTTCAGTTAGATAAGAGGGGTACAGACAAGGATCTGTTGTGAAATGTGGTAACTAGTTAAAATAACCAATGTTACTTACCAGAAGACTGGGTTTTAAGTGTTTTCACTGAAACAGGCACTTAGAAGAATCTTGCTAGCAAGGCATCGACTCTTCACATGGGCCTGGTCTTTTGTATTTTCCTATTGCTGTGAACAAACACCATGACCAGTGGCCGCTCTTACAAAAGAAAGTGGTTAATTGGAGGCAAAGAGTGAATGAGATCTGCCTTGGCCTGGGCCTTTGAAACTTCAAAGGTCACCCTAAGTGACACTCCTTCTCCAGTAAGGCCACACCTCCTAATCCTTCCTAATCTGTCCAGCAACTGGGAAGCAAACATTCAAATTTTTATTCAAACTACCACCAACACCAAATGCACAGACACTCAAGTTCTTTAGCTAAAATGGGATATTTGCATATAGCTTACCCATATCCTCCCAGTGATGTGTGTGTGTGTCTGTGTGTGTGTGAGGTGGGATCTGTCTCCAGCCTAGGCAGGCCTTGGACCTCTTAAGCAGCTGAGAATGAGTTTGAACCTCTGGTTCTCCCATCTCCACCTGCAAGTGATGGGATTAGAGGTGTGTGCCATCATACCCAGTTTATGCTGCACTAGAGACCTAACCCAGGGCTTCATCCATGCTATTCTGACATCTGAGATACATCCCCAGTCTCATCCTACATACTTTAAATCCTCTGTTTTACTTTTAATACCAAATACAATGTAAATACTAACAGTATTTTTTAATTTTAGATTTACTTATTTTACTTTGTGTGTATGAGTGTTTTGCACATATGTATGTACCCCAGGTGTATGACTGGTACCCACAGAGGTCAGAAGATAGCATCAGATTGCCTGGAACTGGAGTTACAGATAGTTGTGGATGCTGAGAGTTGAACACAATCCTCTGCAAGAAAAATAAATGTTCTTAATTGCTGACCTATCTGTGCAGCCCTGTCTAAACAACTTTCATTTGTGGTTGGTGGAATCTGGCTGTGGAACCTGAAGATATGTTCCATCATTTAAATTCACTGTGTCTCAATAAGGAGGTTGAGGGGGTCTGGAGCGATGGCTCAGCAGTTAAGAACCTATACTGCTCTTGCTTCCTGGCACCCACGTGGGATGGCTCATACCTCTCTGATGCCTTCTTCTGCACTTCAAGGGCACCTGCACCCCACCACACACACATAATGAAAAAGTAATAGGCTTAAAATATAAAGTAGGCGGGGCTGGAGAGATGGCTCAGAGGTTGAGAGCACCACTGACTGTTCTTCCAGGGGTCCTGAGTTCAACTCCCAGCAACCACATAGTGTCTCACAACCATCTGTAATGAGATCTGGTGCCCTCTTCTGGTGTGTAGGCATATGTCAGAACACTGTATACATAATACATATTTTTATTTAAATTAGAAACAAGCTTGCTTCTCATGCCAATCCCAGCTCCCTCTCCCTCCCCTAAATAAATCTTAAAAAAATAAAATAAAGTAAGCAAGCTGATGGTTGAGGGTGTAACTCAGTATTAGAGACTTGCCTGGTTTGATCCCCCGGTATCACAAAAAGTAGTAAACTAAGGGGGTTGTGTTACAATAGCTCAGTAGGTGGGCAGAGAACCTAATACAGTGCTGTCCACCACTCAGGTTCTGGAGGCACATGTCAGTCACGTCCACATGCTAAACACACAGAGAGAGTGCTTTTCCTGTCACAGCCAAAACTAGGAAGCAAAATGAGCTACCAGCACCATGGGGCTAAACTGAACCTCTGCTTTATAGCAGTGGTCCTCAACCTTCCTGATTCTGTGACCCTCTAAAATACAGTTCCTCATGCTGTGGTAACACCACCCATCAAATCATTTTCATTGCCACCTTATAACTATCATTTTGCTACTGTTAATGCATTGTGCTGTAAGTATCTGTGTTTTCCAATGGTCTTAGGCCACCGCTGTGAAAGGTTGATCCAAGGATTGAGAACCTCTGCTTTAGAGGAAGTGCAGTAACTTCTACCTCCTCTCTTATAGTGTGAGCTCCAAGTCAGCTAGGGCTACACAGAGAAACACTGTCTCAAACAAAACAGAACAAAACAAAAAAGGAGACACAGAGACAGAGAGAGACAGAGACATATATACTTAGAGACACACACAGTCACACAGAGTGTTGGCTCCTAGCTCAAGGGTAAGAACAGTGAATAATGATGGAGATACTGTATCAGAAGTCAAGAAACTTGAAGACAAATTCTGGTGCTCCCTCTTCTTAAATGGTCCAGAGCCCTAGCCTAGGGAAAGGTGCCACTTTTCTTTAGGATGGATCGTCTTCTCTCAAATAACCAAGATAATCCTCACAGAGGCTCACCTAATCTAAATAATTCCTCACAGATGTGCCCGGAGACATGTCTTCTAGGTGATTGCAGACATCAAATTCACAATCAATATTAACCATCACTCCTATATTACAGAGAAGAAGTTGTAAACGGAGCTTCCCAGTCACGCAGTCCCAAAATAACAACACAGAAGCTTACTTAATATTAATTACAAAATGATTGGGCAAATAGCTCAGGCTTATTACTAACAAGCTCTTACTTTTTTGTTTTTCAAGACAGGGTTTCTCTGTGTAGCTTCGGAGCCTGTCATGGCACTCGCTCTGTGGACCTGGCTGGCCTCAAACTCACATGATCTGCCTGCCTCTGCCTCTCAAGTGCTAGGATCAAAGGCATGTATGATCATCACCCAGCCTAGCTCTTACTTTTAATCTATTTCTGTCAATCTATGTTTTTCCACATGTCCTGTGGTTATAACTGTGTTCTAATACATTTTGTTCTTCCGGTGGCTGCCTGGTATTTCCCTGGACTCAGCCCTTCTTTCTCTTTGTATTCATTCTGGCTTTCCTGCCTGGCTATATTCGGCCCTGTCATAGGCCAAAGCAGCTTCTATTGTCAGCCAATGAGAGCAATATACATTCACAGCATACAGAGGGATTGTCCCACAGCAAGAAGTCTACAAGAGGAGAGGTAGAGAGAAGGCTTAGCAGCTAAGAGCGCTTTCTGTTTTTATCAGAGGACCAGTATCCAGATACCAGGACCCAAATTAGATGGCTTAAAAATACCTGTAATTCCAGCTCTAAGGGATCCAATCCCCTTCGAGCCTCCACAGGTTCCTGCATATACATATGTACAAATAAAACAAGTATTAAAAGGAAAGAAAAAAGGCCACAAGGAAGGTCTGGTGTGGTGGTTTAAGCCTACAATGCTCAAACTTAGGAGTAGGAGGTAGGAAGATGGCTGAGGGTTCAGCCTAGGCTGCAAAGCAAGACCAGCCTGGGATGTGAGTGACAGTCGGCTCAGAAGGGGGTGGGGGTAGGGGGGAAAGGAATCCTAGGGGAAAGTAGACAGAAGAGCTAAGCCTCTCTCATGGCAGAGCAGGCCTGATACCAGTCTTCTGGGCTGTTTTTACCAACCCAAGATCACATTTAGTTGTTTGCTAGACTTCGAGGCCTGAAGCAGCTTGTGAAAAAACTGTTCCACAGGCTGTCGTGGGGAGGCTTGGCCAAGGAAAGTCTATTTTTCATATTCCATTAGAGATTTAAATTTATCTCTGCCCCCATAGGCCTTGTGCTTGTTCTTTCTCCTGCTGTCTCTACCTCCCGGGGCAGCTAAATAGTTTATGGCTGGGGATGGAACCCAGAGCTTGGTGCGTGGTAGGTGAGCATTTCACAACTGAGCCACAACCCAGCTCCTTGGTCCTCTTTTCAATAACAAATTATTTTTAGCCTCCAGATTCTATGTGTATATATAGTCCTTGAGGCTGTGTGTGTGTGTGTGTGTGTGTGTGTGTGCATGTACACTATGTGAGTCCAAGGGATTGAACTCAGGTCATCAAGCAGGCACCTTTACTTGACAAGTCATCTTGCTGACTTAATGGCAAAATATTAAACTTGGAAACACTAAGCATCAACAATGACTACTTGAGTTTAGATAGTAACTTATGTAACAAAACTGTGAAATTTAAAAAGTTCTGCCAGTAAGATTATGTAGGCTATCTTTCACATTTTACCTAGCAGCCTAAGGGAGTTCTAGGCCTAAATTTTAATTAAATAGGATACATTACCATTTTGCAATTACTATTTCGTAAGGTGATGGAGCCTGTCTGACAGGAGGAAATTAAAAAAGCAAAAGCTTCATCGTTCTCTGTTTAGAGACTACCACCGGTTTGGCTGTGCGCAAAATCTTTCGAGATGTTAACAGGCTGGGTCCTAGAACAAGGATAATCACAAAGGACAGACATAGATACTACAGATAAAGAGAACCAGGCTCAGAAGCACGCATTTCATGGTAAAACGTTACCACCGAGCTAACGCTTGCTCTCAGCACACAAGCCTCACAATCGCCTGTGCATTTAGACGTTACTATGTCCTGCTCACACCACGAAGCATTTAGCTGTCAGGGCCAGAATCAAAAGTGGAGTTGTGCAGGACACCGTGCTGCACGCCTTTAATCCCGGTACTCGGGAAGCAGAGAGGGGGTGATCACTGTGAGTCAGAGGACAGCCTGATCTACACATTGAGCTCCTGGTCAGCCAAGGATAGACAGTCAGACTGTCTCAGGAAACAAAATTAAAATTAAATGACACGTTCGTTTTTGAAACAGTGTGTGTGTGTGTGTGTGTGTGTGTAGGTTGGCTGTTCAAGAACTACTTAGGCAGACCAGTCTGGCCTCAAACTCACGGAGATCCTCCGCCTCTGCCTCCCTGAGTGCTGGGACTCGAGGTGTCTGCCGCCAACGTCCGGCTAAATGAAGTCTCCCCCTGCCCCATTTTGATAGGGTCTCACTTTATAGTTCTGGCTGGTCTGGAACTCGATCTGCAGACCAGGCTGGCCTCAAACCCTATAGCTCTCTGCCTGCTTTGGCCCTCCAAGTCCCGGGATCAAGGCCACCACACCGGCTTGGAGTTGTCTGTTTTCAAAACCGAGACATTGTGTCAGTGCGTGTGTGTCCAGGTGAGCGCGCTCATTTTAGTCTTTAAAGAGATGCGAGCAGCTCTAGTCACAGTGTCTAAGGAAGGCTGCGGAGGGACCACGAACCCGAGGCCGGCGTTTGGCAGCTTAGCGAGTTCCTGTCTGACAAAGAAGGAAGTGAGAATGGGCGAAGCCGAAGGGCCGGGGAGCATCCCGCCGGGGTCGTCGCCACCGGAGGCTTGGACAGGTGCGGGCCGCATCCGCCCAGGCCCGGGAGCAAGGTCGCGTCCTGCCTCGGGCCCGCCAGGTGGCTTTCGGCCTTCCCAGCCGGCCGCCCCGCCCCCCTCCGCGGCCCACCTGCGGCCCGTCACCCCGGCCCGTCGCCACCACCACCGCCCGGGCCGCGCCCATAGTCCGCAGACACCTGGGACGCAGCCACCGCCCCGCACGCCGGGCGCCGCGCCGGACGCAGGGCGCGAGTAGAGGGCGCGCCCGCGCAGGCCACTTCTCATTGGTCTCCTCGGCTGCCAGTCGGGCGGCGGCCGGGCGGGGACTTCCGGCTTGGGAGGAGCGAAGGGCCGAGGGCGGGGCCTGGCAGAGGAGGAAGCAGGCCAAGCCGGGCGGCGGCTCACGGGGGGGCGAACCATGGACAGCCAGGGCAGGAAGGTGGTGGTGTGCGACAACGGCACCGGGGTAAGGCCCGGCGGGGTGGCCGCGTCCGTGTGCGGGGTGCGCGTGGGCGCGGGGCTGCGGGGCTGCGCTGCGGGGGCGTGGGGGGGAGCGCGCGGGCGGGTTCTCGGGAGGGGGTCGCTGGCGGGGGCGCAGGCGAGCGGGCGGGCGCTCGGGGTCGCGGGCCGGCCCTGAGCCGGTGGCCCGGAGCTGGAGTCCTCGCCGTGCACTCGAGGGCGGACAGCCGCGCCCCACACGCCCCCGAGCATCCGCCTGCGCCCCGCGCCCCGGAGCACTGTGGCCCTGCGTGGGTCCGGGTGGCGGTGGGCCCGGTGCCCGGGCGCCGAAGGGGCTCCGTTTCCGAGCCTCGAGCTTCGCCCGCGTCCACACAGCACCCAGCGGCGGCCTTCCTCTTCCTGTGTAGCTGTAGATGCCGAATGCGAGGCAGGAAACGGGGCCCGCGGAGCAAAGGGGAAGTGCTGTCAGGCCCTGGGCCTCGGCCCCAGCTCCCTGGCTGCCCCGGGAGAGCGTGCGGGCTGTGCCCGCCTCTCGACCGCGGTTTTTAGGGACGGGCGGCGGCTCCTGCTTCACCCTTCGCTCTGCATGCAACCCCCCCTCCCCATAGACCGTCCTCTCTGTGGGAAGACTTAGGAGACCCAGGACCTCCCCAGTTATTTCTAGTGGGAAGTGGATCAGCAGTTCCTGCCTTCCTTTATTTTTCTCTTTTAAGTGGAGGATACAGACGTTAGTCTTAAAAAAATCCCAAAATTGTCAAAATCAGACGAAAGCACTGATTAGTAACTGGTTGCAGCCGGGCGGTGGTGGCGGCGCACGCTTTTAATTTCAGCCCTCTGGAGGCAGATGCAAGCGCATCTCTGTGAGATCGAGGCCAGCCTGGTCTATGAAGCGAGTTTCAGGACAGTCAGAACTGTTGTTACATAGAGAAAACCCTGTCTCAAAACAACAGCAACAACAACCCCCCAAAACAACAATAACAAACTATTTGCAAGTGCTTTCTTATCTCATTTAAAAAACGTGCTCGGAGCATCAAAGCCCCAATTTTGAAGATGAAAATGTTTCTTTTGAATGAGTTCTTTAGTGGTCTCTATTTTAGTGTTGCAACATTTTGTGACTTTTCTGCCACAAATGTGACATACGAATTCAAATAGATTTTACTTGAACTATCGATTTTGAAGCCATTCTGTTTTCCTTGATTGAATTTATTACAAACTTTGACATTTATTGTACCAATTCATTTAAGCTATTTAAAATTGGACTAGAATAGGATAGGTATTGTACTACAAAGAAAGGGACATCCATACCCCAGGTGTGGTGATGTGCCTAAGATTTAGTAACAAACGTTTTTAAGCAAACTCATTTATGTTTGTTCATTAGAGATATTTATGTTTACATACTTCATGTAGGGATACATAAAATGTATCTCATTCTTTTAGATAAAGGCTAAAGCCATGAGGAAAACTAGAGTTTTCATAAAGCTTCTAAATTATCAGGAAAAAGATTTTTTAAACAAAGCATGTAGTGTTGCACTCTATTTAAATTATAAACATTTAAACTTTTGTGAAATTTTTATAAAAGTATTTATTTAAAAAAAATTCTACCTTGGTACCAAAGAGATGATGGCTCAGCAGTTAGGAGCACTTGTTGCTCTTGCAGAGGACTCAAATTTGATTCCCAGTATCTGCCTGGCAGCTCACAACCATCTGTAACTCTAGTTCCAGTGCATCCAATGCCCTGTTCTGGCCTCCGTGGGTACCAGGCACACAGGTGGTACACATACAGGCATGCAAAGAAACACACACCTAAAATAGAAATGAGTCTTGTCTTTTTTTTTTTTTTTTTTTTTTTTTTGGTTTTTCGAGACAGGATTTCTCTGTATTGTCTTGGAGGCTGTCCTGGAACTCCCTTGGTAGACCAGGCTGGCCTTGAACTCACAGAGATCTGCCTGCCTCTGCCTCCCAAGTGCTGGGACTAAAGGCGTGCGCCACCAACGCCCGGCTAGAAATGAGTCTTAACAATGTTGTTAAAAGGACTGCAGTGATGGCATAGTTTTTTTATGGCAGTACTTGAAAGGCAGAGACAGGCAGATCCCTGTGGCTACATAGTGAGACCTCATCTTTTTTCTTTTATTTTTTCTTAAATTCTATTCCTTGGGGGGAAAAGACCAGTAACTATGGCATAAATTAAATGAATTAATTCAAACAAAGGGTTTTGTAATTGGTATTACTCTTGTAGTTATTTATAAACTTTATCCATATTTTTTGTAGCTAATGATGGCTGTGAATGAAATAGTGCTGGCACTCTATTCACATATAGCTCTGACTTAAATCATATCACAGTTAGGAATGTTGTGTTTCTGAAAAATTTGAGGACTAAGGGTCTGTTTTGCTACTTAACTACTTACATCTTGGCCTTATTTATGTACCTGAAGTTATAATGATGTCTTTACGATTACATATTAAAGAAGACGTTGAAATTGCTTTTTTTTTTTAAATCATGGAAAAAGGGGTTGGGGAGATGGCTCAGTGGATAAGCACCTGTCCTTGAATCCCCAGAACCCATGTAAAGTTGGGACTATAATTCCAGTGCTTCTGCTACAAGGTAGGAAACAGAAAGTGTGTGCTGCAGTAGACAACAAAAGAGAGACCTTGTCTCAAAAAAGGTAAAAGATGAAGACCAACACCTGACCTTTCCCTCTGACGTCCGTGCACCATAGCATGCGTTCACCTGCCTTTCTGCACACGACCCTCATGTACTCCGTACACTGATACACACTCATGGGACTGGAGACTGAAAATGCTAGTTTATAAGGTAGAGTGCAAGAAACCAGGGGACCATCTCCAGCACCACACAAACTAAATATGGCATATACTTCTAACCCTGCACATTGCAGAAGCATCTTAATCATTAGTCAACAGTGGCTTCACTTACTGTTTGTTATACTTTAGATTTTAAAATGTGGGCTATTTGAGAAATTGATTTATTTTTATTTTTATTTTTTATAATGGTGGGAGTGAACCTAAGGATCTGGACATGGGAAGTAAATGCTCTTTCTGAGGTGTCCCTAGCCCTGTGTTATATTTTCGCATGTATAGGCGTTTTGCCTGCATGTGTGTATGTGTACTATATGTGTGCCTGGAGCATGAGGGGGTTGGATCCTCTGGCACTGGACTCATGGATGATTGTGAGGCACCATGTGGGTACTGGGAATCAAATCTGGATCCTTAGCAAGAACAAGGGTTCTTAACCACGTCTCTCCAGCCCCAAGAGAGGTTAAATTTTTAAATTCCTCTCATAGGCCCATAATTGGATTCTGAAAGTATAGGTGTGTTCTTTTGATCACATGATAGATGCTACACCTGCTCTATTTTCCCATTACCCACAGCTAGACCCTTGACTCAGCCCAGAGAAAGAAACTTGCATTCTAGAATAGGGCTTCTGAATTGGCCTTTTAGGCAAAAGTCTGCATACCTCTTTAGCTGTGAAGTTTGATTCCTTTTAAATTGAGTCAGTTTGCTTATGTTAATACAGGACACTACCAAACTTCAATATGACTCACCAACAATAACTTTATTCACAACAAAACGCACATTTCCCAAGTGACTGTCATGTTGCTGGCACAATGCTTAGTAAAGTTTGATGATTATACGTAGTACGTAGACGTTATAGTGCTAGAAGAACCTTATACGTAAAATTCACATTTGTAGTTTCTTGTAGTCTGTTTTATCAGGCTTCTGCTAACTTACATGTTGAATTTAGGAATATTTTAGGTAAAAACAAAACAAGAACTAGAGTTTCGTCTTGTGAAAGGCAATGGCCTAATAGAACGACCACTGGTTTCAAATAAGATTGGCACTGTGGAGTTAAAATACAAACACCACAGATTATTAAGGCAAAACATCCAAAACAAATGAGCTCAAATGAGTTTAAAAATCCCAGTGAGTGATGGAGCATGCCTGTAATTTGCTTGGGCAAAGAGGCAGAGGGTTCAGGAATTCAAGATCAGCCTGGGCTATGTGAGGCCTTGTCTCAAAAGACAAGAAAACCCTGCTGGGTGCCTTGGGAGATTAAAGCAGGAAGATCACCACAAACTCAAGGCTAGTCAGGTCTGCATAGTGACACCCTGTCTCCTGAGGCCCAGGAGTCATTGCACAAGAGGTGTGGGAAGGAAGAGCCTGAGGCCGTGGGTGACCACAAGGAAACATACTGCTGCACACTAGGCCCTCAGCAGTTGTGACAGCATGCACAAGACCCAAGCCAACCCAAGCCAGGCCAAATTCCTGCATGGGGGAGAAGTTAGGCTTGATGTCCCCCATCCCTAGCTAAGGAGCTGTTGGGGATTTTTAGCCGCTGTCATGGTGGAGAGAGAGACAGACTTCTCTAATAGCGTAGCCCCTGATGAGTCAGCCACACCCCCATAGAAGGCTACACACCCAAGAATATTTGCACATACTTGCCTTGGTGGGGAATAAAGAGTGGAAAGGGAAGAGGGTGTGGATCCTAGAAAGAGTTGGGGTCAGCAGGGTGAATATAATCAAACATCTAAAAAACTAATGAAACATTTAAAAATAAAATAAAAGTGGTTTTGAATCTTTTTGTTTGTTTTTATTGTTTTGAGACGGTTTCTCTGTGTGTTGCCTTGGCTGGCCTTGAACTTACACAGATCCACTTGCCACTGCCTCCTGAGTGGCAGGACTAAAGCAGTTCCCGGCTTTGAATCTTTTTTATTTAAGGACAAAGTTGCTTTGATGTCTAATGTAGACAGGTCTTTTGTTCCTTTTGCCTTAAGGGACATTGTACCTCTTACCATTTGATGACTCAGTAGGAAGTAGAGAGCCTGCTCAAACCACAGTGCTACAAGGAAGAAACTATATATGGTAAAATCGGTTTCTTAAACGCAGCCGGAAAAAAAAAAAAACCAGCCTGTGGCACACAGAACTAAGTCACTAGTCTTAAAATGATTGACAAGCAGGAGGAATGTCAGCTGTTAAAATGATACCAAAAGAATAGCATAGAAAAGAATGTTTTGTTTGTTATTTTGTTATATCATGGGTCTTTAAATTTTTTTTAGTTAAGCTTGTCTATTAATTTTATGTTGAATTGGATTATTTTGATATTGTTGGAGCCTAATGCATTCAAATTTGAAATAATGTGAAATAGTATGGTTTTTACTGTTCTAGTGGAATGTCTGATACCTTACAGAAATACTGGCACTGGATTATTCGACAGCATCTGTTTCCACCAAGCTACTGCTTAGGCAGGGTCAGAGTGGGAAGGTGTTGTTGGTGTTTGTTTTTGAAAGAAGTGTCTGGAGTAGGGCAGGCCTCCAGTTTGCCAAGTAACTAAGGCCAGCCTTGAACTTCTTAGTTCCCCTGCCTCCGCCTTTCATGTGCTACCATGCCTGGTTTAGGCATAAACCAGAGGCTTAGTGCATGATAGGCGAGCATGCTACTATCTGAGCTACAACCCACCATCCAGGAATAGTTTCTTATTAAGTACTTAATTTTTTTTCTATTTATAGTAGGCTTAATCTGAAGTCTTATTTTCCTCCTCCCCTCTTCTCTCCCCCATCTCTTCCTTCTCCTGTTTTAGGTAAAGCAGTGATTGTTTATAATTGTTTGTTTCTACGGTTTGAGGGAATCTCAGTTTTTGTCTTCTGGGGTGCTTGGAAAGTGTTTTCCACTTAAACTGTGCTTGAGAATGGTAAGGGCCCTTGAGCTGATCAGCAGGTGAAGGTGCCTTGCTGCCAGACCTGATACCCTTAGTGTGACTGCTGAGACCCACATAGAGAAGGGGGCAATGTACCAGGAACTCGTGTGCATACACGGTTTTTGAAATTAATTTAAATTAAAAAAATAATGTATTTTTAAATTTTGTTTTATGACTGGGCGGTGGTGATGCATGCCTTTAATCTTAGCACTTAGGAGGCAGAGGCAGGCAGATCTCTGTGAGTTCGAGGTAAGCCTGGTCTAGAGTGAGTGCCAGGACAGGTTCCAGAGCTATAAAGAAACCCTGTCTCAATAAAAACAAAAAATTTTTGTTTTGTTTATGGGTATCCCTGGCATGCCTGATGCCCATGGAGGTCAGAAGAGGACATCAGATTGCCTGGAACTGGAGTTACAGACAATTGTGAGCTGCCATATGGATGCTGGGAATTGAACCCCAGTATTAGGAAAAGCAGCTTGTGCTCTTTCTTTTTTTAAACCTTTATTTGCATTTATTTTATGTTGAATTTATTCCTGTGCCCTAAGTTTTTGTTTCTTTAGTTTCTTCTGGGATATCTTTTTCTTCTGTGCAACCTCTTCTGGCTTTGGAACAATTTGTCTCTTTTCTGTGAGCAAGGGGACCTGTATATGGCTTAATGTAGCCGTGAGCTCTGCAGCCCCTAAAAGAATTTTATGGTATGAACTACCCATCTGCACAATTGTAATCAAAAGATATACTGTAACCCTTTACTTTGCTATTGTGTATATGAGTGAATGGCAGGGAGACCCATCAACCTTAGCAGTCTCCTTTTTACCCATTAGTAGCCCCCCCCAACTTAGGATCCGCTCATGTAACAAAGTTACTCATTTACAGTTGCTGTAAACTTGTAGATTAGCCTTCCATTCATACTTTTTTCTTTAGAAACTGGCATTCCAACCCACTGCCTTTGCCTGCGAGGCAAACACTGTACCACTGAGCTTTGGCTTTAGCCAACTTCTAATTTCTAATTTCCTTCTTTCCTCTCTTTCTTCTCTTTTAACCTGGAACTCAGCTTCAGGTACCAGCTTCTAATTTTCTTCAAGACTGTTTATATTCATATAAGTGAGCATTTCATCCTGATAAGTAGGCATTTTTGTCTTGCCTAATGTCTATATCTGTTAATTTTTGAGTTTTTTTTCTCCCCCAAGACAGGGTTTCTCTGTGGCTTTGGAGGCTGTCCTGAAACTAGCTCTGTAGACTAGGCTGGTCTCAAACTCACAGAGATATGACTATCTCTGCCTCCCGAGTGCTGGGATTAAAGGCATGCCCGGCAATTTTTTTAGTTTGCTATTGTTTTGATTAGCCTTGTTGAAAGCCTTGAACCTAAGATCTTGCTCCTCAGAGTGCTGGCTTTAAATGCCTGCATCTCTTTGTCTGGCCTTCTTTAAGATTAAACATAAGATTTTTGTATTCAAATAGTATTTAAGTTGTGTATATTCAGAATGTATTCGGAAATTATGACAGCAGACTGGTGAAAATGACAGACTTTATACTAAAATTTGTATATGGTAGGGATATAAAGAGAATATTTTCTCTGAGTTATCAGGTAAGCTGGGTTTTGTCTCCAACATAGGAATGTAATGATTTAGGAGAAGAGAGTGACATTTTACACACACACACACACACACACACACACACACACACACACACACACACACACACACGCAGGGTGGGGGTAGCTCAGGTTGGCCTCAAATTTGCAGTCTTTCTGCCTCAACCTCTGGAGTTATAGGACCACAAGCATGAGCTGCCACACCCAGCAAGATGCTATTCCTTTCCTCTGTGGTCATTGTTTCCCCAAGTCTTTCTAGGTCACAATAATCAGTTACTTGAGATGACATTGTGGGAATATGAACTGGTGCTCCTGAATTCTGTTTAACATTCCTTTGGGATGGAACATACACTATCAACTTCACTTCTCAACCACTGTAAAACGAACAAGTAGGATATCTGATTACATATGCCCTCAGACCACACTGGCATATGCCTTCATAGGTAACCCAGGAGGAATTGTGTTGCCTTTTTAAGTTTAACTATAAATGAAGCTTTGGCCAGGCACTCACTGTGTAGCTCAGGCTGGTCTAAAACACATGGTCCTCTTAAGTGCTGGGATTACAAGCATGTGCCATCATACTAACCTGTACAGTAATATGCTTTTAGAAATGTGTAGCTATACCTAAAAGAAGCCCAACAGTGAACTAAGTAGGATTAAGTGTTGTGAGTTTGGAACAAAACTCCTAAATAGTGTGTTTTGTTTAGGTTTTCAAAGTAAATATAAACAGATGATAGGAATTAAGATGGTACTGGGGATATGAAATGTAACAAGATTAATAAAAACCCAGATACCAATATTGAGGTTCAAGCTTCAAGCTGAAGATCAGCACTTCAAGAAAGTAAAACAAATCAATTGTCTGTGACTATTTCCAGGGGATCTGGTACTCTCATACAGATATCCATGCAGGCCTGGTTTTAAATCAAAGCTGCTTTTTTGTTTTGTTGAGACAGGTTTCTCTGTGTAACCTTGGTGTCCTAGAACTTACTCTGTAAACCAGGCTCGCCCTGAACTCAGAGATCTTTGCCCCTGCCTTCTAGTGGTGGAATTAAAGGTATGTGACACTACTGCCAGGCTGAGTCAAAGCTTTTTTAAAAATATCTTTTAATATTTTATGTATGAACACAGTGTCCTGCCTGCATGTGCATCTGCACATAAGAGGACAGCAGATCTCATTACAGATGGCTGTGAGCCACTGTGTGGGTGCTGGGAACTGAACTCAGGACCTCTGGAAGAGCAGCCCATGCCCTTAACCTATTAAGCCATTTTTCCAGCCTGGTCAGAGCTTTTATTGTGCTCATTTTCTATCGTTTCTCTTTTTAAAATGACTTAGTGAGTGTTTGTTGAGTGAATGTGTCCATTTCCAAATGCTGCCTGAGTGAGCACTGTGCTGAAGCTGCTCTCAGTCATCGGGCTCTGGCATGAACTACTCAGTTTAGCTCCCTGCTTGAGCAGCTCACCCTCTAGTGACACTTAGGCACTCAGGAATAGTGAACTCAAAACTAAATAGGAACTCTGTTCTAAATAGTTTTGTCAGCTTGACACAAGCTAGTCATCTTGAGAGGAGGAACCTCAATTAAGAAAATGCCTCTAGTTGGGTGATGAACATTGTACTACACCTTTAGTCCCAGCATTAGGCAGGCAGAGGCAGGTGGTTCTATATGAGTTCAAAGCCAGCCTGGTCTGCAGAGCAAGTTCCAGGATAGCCAGGTCTACACAGAGAAACCCTGTTTTGAAACAAACAAGAAAAAAAGAAGTAAATGCCTCTATAAGATTGGGCTGTGGGCAAACCTGTGGGCATTTTCATAATTAGTGATTGATGGGGGAGGACCCAGTCCATTGTGTGTGGTGCCATCTGTGGGTGGTGGTCCTGGGTTCTGTAAAAAAAAAAAAAAACAAAAACGGCTGAGCAAGCAGGAGGCACAGGCCAGTGTCATCACTCCTCCATGGCCTCTGTATCAGCTCCTGCCTGCAGGTTCCAGTCCTGAGACCTCCCTCAGTGATGGACTGTGATGTGGAAGTGTAAGGCAAATAAGCCCTGTCCTCCCCAGCTTGCTTTGATAATGGTGTTTCATCATGACAATAGTAACCCTGACTGATACATGCTCTGAAAATACTTGGTACGTGGGAGGACTTAAAGAGATGATGCTAGAAATAGAACGGGTGACTACTTTGGATGGTTTGAAAGCAAAGTGGTGTTTTCTGCTACTGTTTTTAAATCCTTGGATACTAACCCACTCTTTATTGTTTCCTTCCAGTTTGTGAAGTGTGGATATGCAGGCTCTAACTTTCCTGAACACATCTTCCCAGCTTTGGTTGGAAGACCTATTATCAGATCAACCACCAAAGTGGGAAACATTGAAATCAAGGTAATGTTTTATTCATTGTTAAATGACCCTGAGGTTGTATGAGGTGACCTTTGAATTAAGTAGTGTAAAGTACAATTTCAGGAAAAGCAAAAAAGAGAACAGAACTCATAATTTTAATGTATAGTAACACCTCAACAAAGGCAAGGAACCCTGAAGTTAATTTTATATTTTTGTTTATGTATAGCGTTGTGCCATTCTAATGTGGAGTATAAAATATCAGCTTTAAAATTAGGTACAAAATTGATAGATACTGTTGCCTCTGTTGTCTTACTTTTTGAGACTTGGGCTTTTCTCTCCCCAGTTTCCGTAGGCTGCCCTCTTACTCTTTTAGGCTGTCAGTCAGGAAAACCCAGAAGTCTAGACTCGGTTCCTCTTCTCACTCTTAGCTGATTTTCATACTGTTTGGGAGGAAGCCAGGCAGAGCTTCCCTTGGTCTCACACTGCCAATGGAAGAGGAGCCAGAGCGCTTTACATGACAAATGAGAGACTCAGCAAAGTTTCCTTCCACCAAACTAGAGATCAAGCAGGAGTCACATTATTTTATAAGAAACAGAATAATTAAAAGATTAACCAATTGACTTTACATTCTTCAGGTGGTCCGGTCCAGATTATGTAAAACAGTAGAATTTAGGGGCTTTTTCTAATCGAGGCTTTATTTTATTTATTTATTTATTTATTTTTTAAGAATAGTTAGCATTGTGTGGTCTTGTTTGGACAGTCTTTGGCAAGACTTAGGATGTATATATATATATCTTTGAAGTGCTGAGAAAGGTGATAATAGATGAAAGAGATTTTCTGTGTTCTATATCTCTACCGTGTGAACTAGAAAATTAAGTAATGGGATAAATAAAAGTACACATGGAAACTTAGGTTCTCTGTTTTAAAACCTAAAACTGATTTCTGGCCTTTGGTAGGTCTCAGTAAGTAGTTCAATTAGTATAAGACATTTTAGGAAAGGCCTTGTAGGAAATTTTGTTCTTTTTCTCTTTTCATAAATTTTCATTCTGGTTGAATTTTATCTTTTTTCCTTTTCTTTCCTTCTTTTTCTTTTTCTTTTTTCTTTTTTTTTGGAGACAAGGTCTTTCTTACATGTAGCCTTGGCTGGTTTTGAACTCAGAGAGCCTGCCTTTGCCTCCAACTGTAAGCTTCTTAAAGGCATGCATCAGGAAGCTAATGTGATGAGGAGAAACTGAGTGTAAATAATGCATTTTATTTAGTGTCTGGCTTTTAAACTTTTTTGTAGATGATACCATTTTTGAGGCTCAGAGAGATATCATATACATAGCCGTTTTTACTCTCCAGCAGGACAAAAACAACACATTCTTCTTACCTATTTTCTTGCTTTTTAAGACCAAGTAATAAAAATCAACAGGTTTCTTGTGAGACATTTTCCAGGGACCACCCCAGTAGTTATTGCTGCTACAGTTTGTCATTCTTTGTTTTTACTTTGGTTCTTTTCACACTGCTGTCTTTTAAGCCTTTCAAGTTAAATTGCTTTTACTTGAATACTAAGGTTTAGATAAAGACTTCTGAACTAACTCTTACCTACTCAGCTAAACCATGTGTTTTCCATGTTTTTCTTAATTGAAGCTCTTAAATTCAATAATGAACTAAAGTTTGATTTTGGAATTCCTATACTTAGATAATTGACTTATATTTGTAAGTCTTGTTAGCTAAAATGTGATGGTAGACTAAGACAATGGACATGTAAATCATTTAGTTAATTTTCATTTAGGAGTAATTACTGTCCATGTTCATTTGGCCCTGATAGATAATTAACACCATAAGATATAGTAGTACTGCATCTGACCTCAGCCTAATTGTCTCTGTTGCTTGTATGTTTAAACCTTTCAGTGAGGATTTTATGTAGGCCTTTTCTGACTCTTGCTTCTACCTTCTCTCTCTTCACCTTTCTTGACCTGTTGAAGTAGAATAACAAAAAGATGGTAAGTGAGGTTACACACATGCTCTGTTTGTTTTCCACTTTTGCTTGGTGGGACAGTAGTTGTTGTTTTGTGTCCCTTTAGTTTCGGGGAGGGGGAAAATCCATATTTTTGTTTTAAGTACTCTAATTTTTAACCTTTTTTCATTTCTTCAGTTTGGTAGCAACTAATAAAGTCCTATACTTTCCTGATTGCATACAATGAGCCAAGCAAGAACTAATTACTAACATAGTTTTGAATTGTTTTCATTATTTTTCGTAGATGAATGTTACAATTAAAATGGAATGTGGTGTGCATAATACAGAAATGAAATAGCTATGTGATACAGAAAATGGGTGAATTTGTTACATTTGAGACATAGTTTATTGACTGATGTTATATATTGCCTAGTATACTGAATGCATATTTTTGCAGTCAGTATAATAGCATATACATATTTAGTAAACTGAGTAAAATTTTAATGTTTACATGAATATATAAGTGAAAAAAGTAATAAAAGAAAATCTTGTTCCCATGTCATCCTTGCTGATGAGTAGATTTGACATTATCTGAGAATAAATAAGAAAAAAAGTAACATACCTATCAGGCTTTCCCACAAATACAAGGCCACCCCCCATACACAGAGAGACAAGTAAGTACCATTGTGTAGTCCCTCCCTTTCATAAAACAAAAACAAAGTAGAGGCTTGTCTATCCCAGACATTTTTCTGTGTTATATTACATTTTTCTATGGTGGAGCATGCATTATCTAAAATAAATACTAAAGAGATTTTTAGAAAGGCTGTACTTTTAGAGAATAGTATAGGCATGATTTTTATGTTCTTTTAAAATCAGAAATAGAATATCTAATTGGTATTATAAACATATTCTTTCAGTATAAAGTAAAATCCTCATTATGCTGGGTGAAGAGACAGAACATGATTTGAGATGTAACCTCGCTGTAAACTGCACTCTAGTCTGTACTTCCCTGGTTTCACAGACTTTCCTTCTAGGAATGTAATTGTTTAAAGCTTGTATTTTTTTCTATTTTCTAGTTCAGAGTGACAATGCTCAAAATCATTATTTGCAAATAGAATCTATCCTAAATAAATGGCTTTAGCCCAGGTTCTCAGTTACTGTGAGTTTTTGGTACCAGATGAGGGTTAGTCTTGAGGTCCAGTGGTGGGCAACAGAAGACTCAGGGCTGCTCAGAGCGTTTCCTGTTTGGTTCTGAAGGGAGGAACTTGTTTGTTTGTTTGTTGGTTGGTTTTTGAGAAAGGGTTTGCCTGTGTAGCCAGCCTTGGCCTTCCTAGAACTGGATCTGCACCAAGCTGGCCTTGAACTCCTAAGATCTGCCTGCCTCTGCCTGCCTCGTGCAGGGACTACAGGTGTACACCATCACTGCCCAGCTAGTTATTAAAAATTTTAACATTTGAAAGTTGAAAGGTTCTAAGGGAGAATTTATATATGGTCTAGGTTTTATTTGATTTGTAAAGGGAAGCCTTTTCCTTGAGAGAAAGCCTTCCCGCCAGCCTGATTCCAGAGCCGCATCAGTCCCAAATAAACATACAGGAGGCTGTATTAATTATGAAGCTGTTGGCCTTGCTTGTTTCTTATTGGCTAGCTCTGACTTAAGTAATTACCCCATAATTGTTAATCTAAGTATTTCTCTTACCGGAGAATAGTTCCGGGCTTCCTACCCCATGGCGTTACATCTCGACTCCTGTGTTTCTCCTACCCAGAGTCCTCCTCGACTCCTAGTCCCACCTATCTTGCTTCCCTATTGGCCAACAGTGCTTTTTTGACATATACACAGGACTTCCCCCATCATTGATTCGTTGTTTTTTTTTCTCAGACAAGGTTCATGAAGCTTAGGCTGGCGTCACACTTGCTGTGGAGCCTAGGATAGCCTTGATCTTTCTGCCTCAGGGTCTTTGTTTGGTTTTGGTTTTGGTTTTTCCAGACAGGTTTTCTCTATATAGCCTGGCTGTCCTGTAACTGACTCTGTAGAGCAGTGCCTCACTCTCTTGACTTTTGGAATTACAAGATTGTGTCACTACTCCTGGCTGCTTAGTGTTTTAATCTCCCTATGTAGCCCATACTGAGCTTGAACTCTGGCATGCCTCATCTTCCTAAGTAGGCCTTTGGGGCACTAAGATTATAAGTGTATGCCGCCATACCTGTCAGTCGTAGCTTGTTTTTTGTTTTGCTTTGGTTTTATGGTGGGTTTTTGTTTGTTTGTTTTGGTTTTTGAGGTAGTCTCATACATCTCCAGCTGACCTTGAACTTCTGACCCTCTTTCCTCTACTCCCATGTTCTATGATTACAGTGTGCCATCATGCCTGATCTTAGGCTAGGCTGGGGGTGGAACCCAGAGCTTTCATGCGTGCTTGGCAAAGCGCTACACCAGCTGTGCAACATCTCTAGCCTGTCTGAGGGTTCAAAAATTTGTCAACAGTTTTTTCATTTAAGTCCCTTGAACTCATACATTTCCATTTTTAAATGTCCCTTTTTGTTCAGAGGGGACTAAGGGTACTTAATATCAGATGTCCCTTTCAGTTACTAGTTCACAATATGTGTGGTCCTAGAAGATTATACGGCTTTTATTTTGAGTTGCCATAAGGTTCAGCATCTATAAGCCTCTGGTTTTGTTACTGTTGAGCTTTTTTTGTTTGTTTTTTGTTGTTGTTGGTTTTTGGTTTTCTGAGACAGGGTTTCTCTGTGTAGACCTGGCTGTCCTCAGAAATTCACCTGCCTCTGCCTCCCGAGTGCTGGGATTAAAGATGTACGCCGCCACCACCACCCAGCAATAAGCGTCTGTTCTTAAGAAAAAAATAAGTATTCTGTTGAAATTGAATCATAATCTAAATTCTTTGAAATAATAGTGATTACCAACCAATTGTCTAAATCAGTTGTCTTGTTAATACATTGAAAAATACATAGGATTAAAGAAGTAACAGAAATTGGCATGAAATTATACTTGTTAATAGCCAAAAGTAGCATATATTTGCGGGTGTGGATTTTTTCTCAATTTTTAATTAAGAAATGTTTAGCACATTCAGCTATGTTAAACAGATTTTACAGACCCTACAGATACTTACTGCCTTGATTCCAGTATTAATATTTGTTATTCTAAACCAGAAGTAGAGGTGCACACCTTCAGTCCTACTGTAATTGCAGCACTGGGGGGGAGACAGAGACAGGCAGATCTCCCTATGTTTGAGGCTAGCCTGGTTTACATACAGAGTTCCAGGACAGCCAGAGCTACATAGAGGGATCCTGTCTCAAAAACAAAACGTTTATTATTCTGATTAACTACATACCTTTTCATCCACCGAAATGTCTTGTTTTTTTGTTTATTTTGGTTTGGGTTGTTTTTGTTTGTGTTTTGTTTTTGATGTTTCACTAAGTTACAAATACTAGTATACTTATCCCTAAAAACTTCATCATGCATGCCTTTATCCAGAGTTCACAGGTATAAATCTTTCCAGTTTTTCATTTTCTTCCTGAAAATTCAAGTTCCTATTAGCCAAGGAACTTGAGTGTTAGTTTTGGGAAAATTGCCTTTATAAGAAATTAGTTGCAATAGAAAGTTGTAGTGAACTTTTTCCCCTGTTGCTATTAATATATCTTCCAGAAATCTGGCTCTTAATAGACTCCTTATCCTGGTTTTCAAGTTTAAAACTACTCTTATGAGACATTTCTAGTTGTTTTTTTTCTTTTTCTCCAACACTGCAGGTTGAACTCCTAGGACCTTACATATGCTAGCCAAGCACCCTACCACTGCATTACAGTCCCACCCCTAAAGGGCATATTTTTTTAAAACTTCACTTTACATTTTCTCATGTTGGTTTTGCTATTTCTTCATTTCCTCATAATTTGAACTTTTATTATACCAAATGGTAGCTATTTCTGATACTAATTTTTAATTGGATTCATCAATGTAGAAATAATGTCTGGATTACTGATTTCTAAAACAATAATATTAAGATATTGTTTGCCTTGTTATGCATACAAATTTGATTTTTTTTTAATGTGGGTCCCCTTAAATGTGCTGTCTTTGGAGACAGATTGTGAGTATTGCACTTCATAAAAGATAACACTGACTTTCAGTGTTATACTTCAAGGTTAAAAATGTTGCCATTGAGATAACTTTAAAGTTGTTTTAATGCATACACATACAGATAGACATTTATGAAGTCTGTTAAGTGTGTGTGTATGTGTGTGTGTGCGTGTGTAAGTGTATAAGAGAGAAAGGTACATTGTTTTAGAGGAATGAAGAATCATGATTTTTGCATCTGCATTGATAAAAATCATTTTGATAGAAAGAAATGTGCTTGTGTGCATTGAGCATTTTCAAGATTTTTTCCCCCCCTGATGTGCTATTTCACATATCACAGGACTTATTTTTTTGAACATTTGAGCAAAAGAAACAGATGAAACCTCATACAAAACCCTTCAAAATATGAAAATATGGGGTTTATTTGTGCTAATGCTCTTCTTTTGGAAACATGTATTAAAGGTAAGGTCAGTTTATTAATTTAAACACATAGTACATAAAATATTGGTTAAACTTTGTAAACTGTTCTTGAAAGAAAAGAGTTTTTTAAGTTTGGAGTAAAAAACTTGATCTGAAAGTCCCAGAAAAATTAAAATTTAAAAAAATTAAAATTTAGAAAATCCAAGTTTTCTAAAATCGAGGAATATAATTTTCTAAAGTGTCTTTATGTAAAACTTTGACCGTTTTAAAGCTTTGCCATCTCATCTTCTAGGATCTTATGGTCGGTGATGAGGCAAGTGAATTACGCTCAATGTTGGAAGTTAATTACCCCATGGAGAATGGCATAGTACGAAATTGGGATGACATGAAGCACCTGTGGGACTACACATTTGGACCAGAGAAACTCAATATAGACACCAGAAACTGCAAAATTTTACTCACAGAACCTCCTATGAACCCAACCAAAAACAGGGAGAAGATTGTAGAGGTAAGTTTTTGAAGAACTGCATATCCATGTGTATCTCTGTGATAGAATGTTAAATCAGAATTTTTTTCTTCTTGCTGCTTCTACTGCTAAGGATAAATAAAAGCAACCATTTCTCCCTAGATCCTGATTATTTTGCATTCACTACGGATTGAGGGTTGCTCATCTGAAATCTGAAATATTTTGATCATGTTTATGATGCTCATGAAATTTTGTATTTTGGAACATAAAATTTGGGTTTTTTGATAAGGGTATCCACCTGGTAAATAGGCAAATACTCCAAATTTAAAATCAGAGATCTTTCTCGTCTCAAGCATTTTGGATAAGAGACAGTCAACAAGTGTATGCTAGTAGATGAGAACATTCCCCTTCCCAAAATTGAGGTGTTTGAATTAAGTAGTTTATTAGAAAGTAATAGATCTACTGGAAAAATAGTGAAGTTGTATATGTATATTTGAGTTCAGGTAAATAGTCTGGAATTCAAGATAAAAACTACAAAGTCACTGGGTGGCGCACACCTTTAATCCCAGCACTTGGGAGGCAGAGGCAGGTGGATCTTTGTGAGTTCGAGGCCAGTCTGGTCTGCAGAGTGAATTCCAGGGAAGCTAGGGCTACACAGAGAAACCCTGTCTTGGAAAACAAAACAAACAAAAGCTAGAAAGTCTTTGAGATGGTATTTCTCACAAAAGTGAGAGAAGACAGTGGAGACAGGCTGGCGGCCAGAGGGAGGAGTCTGCTAAAGAGATTGACTGTCTACTGAGGTAAAGGCAGGAGGAGGGTTCGTTACTGACTCATGATGGACTTGGGAGGACTTCACATTTTGTTGGTATATGCACACACAGCAGCATCACTTATTAAAGGGATGCTGGAATAGAATGTTAGAAGATCAATTAATTGATGAAGGTGTATTCCAAAGTTGTAAAATTGAAGTTCTGTATAGTTCTCATTGTGATCAGTTGTTAAATATCTTGATGTTCAGAGTGACAATCCTGTCGGTCAGTGAGTGTTTGCAATGGATGGACAAAAGAAACCGTGTAAGATTTTTCTCAGCTGACATGGGCTGCAGAGAATGAGCACAGATATATGTGACCAGGGAGGAGGGCCCAAGGCAATACCTCCCTTGAGTGTAGTTCAGTGTTAAGTGGAGTTACAGTCTGGGCTCAAGAGGAGAGGCAACTGAGCAGTCTACATCTGACCACTTAGTGTTTTAATTTTTGTCTTCACCTCATACCATTCATTCATTCATTCCACTGCTAGGGAATCAGACCAGAGTGTCACTGACTAGAAAGAACTCTTCTACTGAATTACATCCCTAGTCCTATTTCTTACTTGTTTTTAACTGGCACAGGGATGGGGGATGTGTGGGGGAGTATAGCCAGTTTTCAATTAGGCTGGGGGAAATAAGCAGATATTTCATTTTTTTCTCTTCATTATTTATGTGGTATGTATTTATTTATATATGCCTGTGCACACTGGAGTGTCCCATGTATGCATTCCTGTGCACACTGGAGTGTAACATGTATGCCACTTGGGGGAGTTGGTTTTTACCTTTTCCTGTATGGGTTCAGGAGATTGAACTAAAGTCATCAGGCCTTTCGCAGCTGAGCCATCTCTCTGGGCCCAAGAGAATATGTCATTTTATTTATTTCTTTATTTTGTTTTTTTATACTGAGTGTGTGTGTGTGTGTGCCGCGTGTGCACAGGCACGAGTGAGTGCCGCTCTTGTGTGTGTGGAGGTGAAAGGACTCCTTATGAGAATCAGTTTTCTCTATTCACCATGTCGGTCCTGGAGCTCAGATTCAGGTTGTTAAACTTGGTGGCAAGCGCCTTTACTAGCTGAACAATCTTGCTGGTCCCAGGCAGGTAATTTTTTTAAGGGGTATTGGTTTAGGAAATTTAGTATTAAGCTTGCTTTCATACTGATTAGCCAATAACTATAATATATTCAGGAATCTTTGCTTGTAGTGCTTACAAATGCTCTGAGACTTGACTCAGGTGTATACAGGCACACACGCATGCATACATGTATGTGTGTTTCCAAAACTACCCTAAAAATTGGAATCAGAGGTGGGTTTTATAAGGGCAAGAACAACTAGTTAGATGATTCCTCAGGGTCCTTTGCTTGCATCTTAACTGACCTGCCGTGTGAGCTTGAAGGAAGTACATACATTTTCTGTCTGCATAACACAGCTCCCTTTTTTCCCTCTCTTTCCATTTTTAGGTAATGTTTGAAACTTACCAATTTTCTGGTGTGTATGTAGCCATCCAGGCAGTTCTGACTTTGTATGCTCAAGGTAAGTAAAACTTAACTGTTAGGAAAATTAATTCAGCAAACACTAAATTTGTGTGTGTGCATCTGTTGTTTTGTTTTTTTCTGTTTGTTTTTCAAGGCAGGTTTCTCTGTGGAACAGCCCTGGCTGTCCTGAAACTCTTGTAGACCAGACTGGCCTCAAACTCAGGGAGTCACTTGCCTCTGCCTCCCGAGTGCTGGGATGGAGAGTTGACTTAGTGCTTAAGGGCATTGACTGCTCTTGCTGAGGACCCAGGTACTAGTCCTCCATTTGGAGCCATCTATGACTCCAGTTCAGGAGATCCAGTTCCCTCTTCTGGCCTCCAAGGGTCCAAGGGCACTGCATGTACCTGGTAAACACCATTACAGATAAAATAAAAATAAATAAAATCTAAAAAAGAAAGAAAAGGCCATTACTTATATAAGATAAATATAAGAACTTCAGAACTTTACAGTTTGTATGTGTTTTTGTCAGTTTGTCTGTGTGGCGTGTGCATGTATGTACAGGGATGCATGCTTGTGAAAGCCAGAGGTTGACATTAGGTGTCTTTCTCCTTTTCCACTGACTTTTTGGAGACAGCTTCCCTCTTTATTGACCTGGAGTTCACTGATTGGCTGTCTCCACTTCCCAGTTCGGGGACTCCAGCCTGTGTTGCTACAGCTGTTGTCTTATGTGGGTGCTGGGGACGCAGACTCCAGTCCTGGTGCTGGGGCAGCCCTTCACCACTGTCATTAGTCATGCACATGCCACACACATTTTACTTGCTTTATTAAAAAGGAACCTAAGCTTAAAATGATGGCCGTTGGGTTTGTTGTTTTTTAATAGGGTTTGTTTTTTGTTGTGTTTTCAGCTGTTTTGAATCTCTGTACATTACGAGGGGCTAGAGATGCTCATCAGTTAAGAGCAGCGGCTGCTCTTCCAGAGGACCTGGGTTCATTTCCCAGCTCCCCTGTGGGTTCACAACTGTCTGTAGCTCCAGTTCCGATGTCCTCTTTTGGACTCCTTGGGCACGTTCAGGCATGTGAGCACAGGCACACAAGCAGTGACACATTCATGCACAAAATAAAAATGAGAAATTAGGCCTCAAGTGAGAATAAACATGGAACTTATCCTCAGAATTGACTCTTAAAAGATTAGTGTGCTGGGTGGTTTTATGTCCCCTTGACATATGTTAAAGAGAAGGGGGATATATCTGAGAGGAGGGGACCTCACTTAAGAAAATGCTTCTAGAGCCAAGTGGTGGTGGTCAGGAAGCAATGCTGGATTAAAGATATGAGGTTGAGGCCAGCCTGGTCTACAGAGATAGTTCTAAGGCTACATGGACAGCCAAGGATAGCCAAAGCTACACAGAGAAACTTTCTATCAAAAACAGGCACAAAAAGTAAGTGTGTGTGTGTGTGTGTGTGTGTGTGTGTGTGTGAGATGAGAACATCTTGGATCAGGAGGAGTTACTTTATGTGTCAGTGTTTTGGCCTATATGTATGTATGTATGTGTTCTATTCTACCTCCGTGCCTGGACCCAGGAAGGCCAGAAGAATACATTGAATCCCCTAGTATTGGAGTTACAGTTTTAAGCTGCATTGTAGGTATTGGGACCCCACTCAGGTCCTGAAAGAGTAGTAGGTGTTCTTAACTGCTGAGACATCTCTAGATCTCCCCTAAAAGAATTTATAAGAAAACTGATATTAATATATTTTCCTAGTAAATTCATGAATTAATCTCTATCCAATTAGAAGATAAACTTTTTAAAAAAAGATTTATTTATCATGTAGTGTTCTGTCTGCATGTATGCCTGCAGACCAGAAGAGGGCACCAGATCTCATTATAGATGGCTGTGAGCCACCATGTGGTTGCTGGGAATTGAACTCATACAACCTCTGAGCCCATCTCTGCAGCCCCAAGACAACCTTTCTTTCTTTTTTTTTTTTTCAGAGCTGAGGACCGATCCTAGGGATTGTGCTTGCTAGGCAAGCGCTCTACCACTGAGCTACATCCCCAACCCTAAGATAACCTTTCTTAGTTGCTTATGTTTGTCTATTTTTATGTAACCGTTGACTTTAATTTTAAGAAACAATAGCTCAGTAAAATTCATTAGATAACTACAAGCTTAGAAATCCCCAGCACTAGGGAGTCAGAGGCTAGAGAATCTCTGTGAGGTCAAAGCCAGCCTGAACTACAGACCGAGTTCCAGGAGCACCAGGGCTACACAGAGAAACCTTGTCTCAGAAAATCAAAATAAATAACTGCAGACTATGTGTCTTCCTAACTTGATAGTTAATATTTTCAGGCAAAAGGAGTTGGGGAGATGGTTCAATAGTTAAGAGCACTTTGCTCTTGCAAAGGACCTGATTTCACTTCCCAGCTCTAAGGTCAGGCAGCTTACAGTACCTATAACTCTAGCTCCAGGAGACTGGATGCCCTGTCTGATTTCCACAGATGGACACACAAACACATATGCGCAAATACATGATAAAACTGAATTTTAACAAGAACAACAACCTCTACTACCATTCCAACCTGCAGAAGGTTTTTGAATAAGAAGTGACCTGGTGTTTTAGGAAGATATGTCTCTCTGCTTAGTTTGGTCTGGGTGGATAGAAGAGATTGAAATTGGAAAATCTCAGGTGGAAGTTTGAGTGGTCAGAGAAGACACAGAAGAAACGACAAGAATTTAAGAGACAGATAACCCAGTGATAAAAAGGGTATGACACTAAGAGTTCTTTTTTTCTTTTCCCAATAGAAAGTTTTCAGGGCTAGGGAGGCAGCACAGTAGGTAAATGCCAGCCTCTAAAACCTGAGGACCTGAGTTCAGATCTCCAGCACCCACATAAAAGCTGTGCACGGCAGCATTTGCCTGTAATTCCAGCACCAAGGAGGTCAGGACAGGAGGATTCTGGGGGTTTGCGGGCCAAGTAGTCTGTCCTGATGAGTGAGTTCAGTAAGAGACCCAATCTGCTCAGATACCAACACCCATGTATCAAGCCACATATCCCTGTAACCTCCGTTGTGATGGTTGTGGAGGTGGGAGGATTGCTGGAGCTTGCTAGCTTCCAAATTAGCAGAGAAATAGCCAGTTCTGGGTTCAGAAAGAGACTATCTCAATAAAGGGATACACCTGATGCACAGACACAGACAAAGAAATAAGTAAATAGCTTTTAAAAATATAGTAAGCTGGAGAGAAGTTGAAAAAGACAGCCAATCAACCCTCTGTCCTCTGCAGGTACATGACGGACACACACACCAAGCCAGATGTTATGCATACCTGTCACTTCAGTGTAGAACCCCATTGCTCAGGCTGCCAAGGCAGTATGGATATGATTTCTTGGCTAGGGATGAGACTGCCTTAATAACAACAAAAATAAAATAAGTATTTTCAGTGGCAATGGGAAGACACAGTAGCAGCTCCTTTTTCTTTGGGGGGGGGGGCAGGAGGATAGGATTTCTCTGTGTAGCCTTGGTTGTCCTAGAACTCGCTCTGTAGACCAGGCTGGTCTTGAATTCAGAGATCCACCTGCCTCTGCCTGCCAAGCACTGGGAGTAAGGGCGTGCACCAGCCCTGCCCAGGTCCCTGCTCTTTTATTGTTGTCATTGTTGCTACTGCTTGTGAGGTTTGGCTGGAGTCCCTACCCAGGCTTACACATGCTAAGCCCATCTGTTGCTGACATACACCCTTGTGATGCTTTACTTCTATCGTAAGGGTTGGTTGGGGTCATTCTTCTCGTTTAAGGTAAAAGCTGAGCTGATACTTTCCTAACCTAGAATGATTGATGGAAAATTTCTAGGTATTAGACGTTTCCTCAAGATTATAGGCCTTTGTAGTTGTTGATGGTATTTTTCTTTTGTTTTGAGATGGTGTCTGCCTGTGTATCTCTGACTGGCTGGTAACTCTAGTCATCTTATAAAAGGGGTGGGGGTGTGGTTCTCAATTCTCAAGTGCTAGTTTTCACTTTCCTTCCATGACTTCTTTTCTCCTTTTTGTGAGATGATCTCTCACCTAGTAGCCTGTGTTGGCCTTGTTTTCTTTGTGTTTAGGTTTTTGAGATAAGTGACTTAGAATTTTTAGTTCTTCTATCACAAGCTTCCTGAGAGCTGAATTTCAGTATGAGCTACCAGGCCTGACCAAATGATTTTAGCAGGTTTACTTATCATCTTGTAACATTGTGTAATAGTCATTACACAGTTGTTTCCATAAATTATTCATTACACTTTAGAAAATTTCACTTTAGGGGAATTGGGTGATTAGATTGGAAAGGAAACTGTAGCATGGTCTTTCTTCCCAAGCTCACTCTTTAAAAAGCCCCATGATAGAGCTAGAAACCTCACAAGGAAATCATCCACGCCTGACAACCTTAGTTGGATCCTTTGGTTCCAATGGTGGAAGCAGAGAACCAGTACTATTTGTCCTATGGCTTCACATGTGCTATGGCATGCATGTGCCCTCTCCTCCTACACAGATAAGTAAGGGTGTAAAGAAAGGAAATTGTCAGAGAACAGGCACTTCCGTCTGTGATTAGAAACCAAGTGCTGAAGCAAGAGTGGCAAATGCCTTTAGTCCCAGCACTTGGAGACAGAGGCAGGTGGATCACTGAGTTCAAGGCCAGCCTGGTCTACAGAGTGAGTTCTGGAACAGCCAGAGGAATATAAGAGACCCTGTCTTGGAAAAACAAAACAGACAGACAGTTGTGGGAGGGAGGGAGGGAGGGAGGGAGGGAGGGAGGGAGGGAGGGAGGGAGGGAGGGAGGGAGGGAGGAGGGACGGAGGGAATAAGTGAGTGAGGAATGAGTGAGTGAGTGCTGGCTGCAAATCTCACTAACTGCTTGATTTGTCTGTGGTGGCATCTCTACTACCTTTGAAACTTCTTGGCTTTGGTTTTCCTGAATTGACTCTCAAAACCTCCTGGTTCTTGTGCAGGTTTATTGACTGGTGTAGTAGTAGACTCTGGAGATGGTGTGACTCATATTTGCCCAGTGTATGAAGGCTTTTCTCTTCCTCACCTTACAAGAAGGCTGGATATTGCTGGGAGGGATATTACCAGGTATCTTATCAAGGTAAGTGAAAAATAAGCATCTGTTTTATTAGTTTGTTTACTGACTTACACAAATCTGTGTCTGAAACAATTCAGGGGCTGGAGAGCTAGCTCAGCAGTCAAGAGCACTAACTGCTCTTGCAGAGAGACAGTTCTCATCAGTTTTCATCTCGGCCAGCTCTCTGCCTGTAACTCCAGCTCTGTGGAGTCTAATGCCTTCCTCTGGACCCTTCAGGCACAGTATTCATAAACACATACCCACATACAGACACAGTACACATAATTTAAAGTAGTAAAATAATTGAAAAGAATTCAGTATACAATATAGCTAGCATTGTCCAGTATGCCGTTATTGCCCTTGATGTGGATTCCAGGTATTGAGCTCAGGCATGGACAGCAAGTCCTTTTACCTGTCCAGCCATCTTAGTAGTCAGCAAGGATTTGACTTGTGTGTAGTGGAACTTAGTCACATGGATTATTAATTTGCTGCTTTTTTTTTTTTTTAATGCCAGCTGCTGCTGTTGCGGGGATATGCCTTCAACCATTCTGCTGATTTTGAGACAGTTCGCATGATTAAAGAAAAGCTTTGTTATGTGGGCTACAATATTGAGCAGGAGCAGAAGCTGGCCTTAGAGACCACAGTGCTGGTTGAGTCGTATACAGTAAGTGTCCTGTGTAAATATACCTGTGCATTGAAAATGGCTGTTTGCTTTTTGTTTTGTTTGCTGGACATCAAACCAAGGACTTTGTGTGTGCCACAAGAGCAGGCCCTGGCATCGGTATTTGGTTTGGATTATTTTCATATGATGTTTAAATTATTATTGAAGATACCATGTATTGCAAATTAAAGCAAGAATTAAATTAGAATGTAATTAGGAATGGAGGTATTAGTTGATATTTTAACATCTTCAGAATATCATTTCTCAGCATGTTTTGTTCACAATGTTCTCTGGGATGTTACTTGAGTCGCACACAATTGAACACATTATAATTGTCAAGTAAGTTATGGAGATAACCATTATCTCATTGCTGTATACTCCCAGGCCCTTTGATATGCCAGTGTGTATTTGGTTGTCAAAATTCAGGGTGCCTGTTTCTTGGATTCTTGATTTTTTTTTTTTTCTGAGACAGGATCTTACTATGTAGTTGAGTCTTCCTTCCTCTGCTTCCCAAACGGTGGGATTGCAGTCATACATTCCCATATGAATCTCAAATTTTTGTAGTGTGTCATGGAGCTAATAGAAATGTATCTTGGGCCGGGCGTTGGTGGCGCACGCCTTTAATCCCAGCACTTGGGAGGCAGAGGCAGGCGGATCTCTGTGAGTTCGAGGCCAGCCTGGTCTACAAGAGCTAGTGCCAGGACAGCCTCCAAAGCCACAGAGAAACCCTGTCTCGAAAAACCAAAAAAAAAAAAGAAAAAAGAAAAAAGAAATGTATCTTGGGAAATGGTCATGCTTTGATCTTTCTCAGACAAGTACTCACTATAGCCCGAGCTGGGTTAGAACCCAGGCTGGCTTCAGACTTACTTTGAAATCTGTTAGGTTGCACATATTTTGTGAATAATGCCAACTTGGGTCACGGGGCTTAACATTTGCTTTGCTGGGCATAGTGGCACAAGTACTTGGAGTACTGACTGAGGCAAGAGCACCACATAAGTAATGAGACCAGCCTGGTAAGGCCTCCAGAAAAAGCTGAAATAGCTGGGTGTAGTGAGCACGCCTTTAATACCAGCACTGCAGAGGCAGCTGATCTCCATGACACAGCCAAGGATACATAGTGAGACCTGTCTCAAGACATACAAGGGAGGGAGGGTATTGTTAGAGACCAGCTGTGGCAGTGCATGCCTTTAATTCCACCTTTGGGGGCGGGGGTCGAGGCAGAGGCAGGAGTATCTCTGAGTTTGAGGCCAGTGTACATAGACCATCCAGGACTACATAGAGAGACCCCGTCTCAACCTCCCACCCTCTAAAAAAAGGTACCAATGTAAGCTTACAGTAAAACCTGCCTCATAACTCAAAATAATCTCCAGGTTTGCCCTGGTGCCTTCTTCCCTAAAGATTTTTTGACAGATTTTCTATATAAAACTCCTCATTTTCAGTTTTTTGGTTTTTTTTTTGTATTTTTGTTTTGTTTTGTTTTGTTTGCTTTACGAGACAGGGTTTCTCTGTATTGTTTTGGAGGCTCTCGGTCCAGGCTGGCCTCGAACTCACAGAGATCCACCTGCCTCTGCCTCCCGAGTGCTGGGATTAAAGGCGTGCACTACCACCGCCCAGCTCAGTTTGTTTTGTTTGTTTGTTTTTTCGAGACAGGGTTTCTCTGTATTGTTTTGGAGGTTGTCCTGGAACTCACTCTGTAGAGCAGACTGGCCTGAAACTCACAGAGATCCTCCTACCTCTGTCTCCCAAGTGCTGGGGTTAAAGGTGTGCACCACCAATGCCCGACTCTCATTTTCAGTTTTAGTTGTTTAGAAGGAGCTGACAATGTAAACCATGACAATAGAGTCATCATTGAATTAGTTTGAGGTCAGCCTAGACTAAAAGCAAGACCAAGGTAACCACACCTCCACCTCCTCCAACACCCCCCCCCCCATAAAAAAGAACAGGCATGATGATGCTCACTATAACTTCAGTAGTTGTAAGATGGGGCAGAGACATCACTGATTTGAGGTCCACCTGTGCATATGGTTTAGCCTCCAACTTCCAGTAAAAGCCAGGCAGGGTGGTGCCTGTCTGTAATCTCAGCACTTGGGAGGTAGACACAGAAAGGTGACATGGGTCATCTGGGCTACATGAGATCCTAACTCCAGGAAAATGAAAACAAAATGTGTCTTCCCTCTTTCCTCGAACAGTTGGAGATAGCTTTCAAAAATATAGTCAAGTGTAACACAAACTAAATAATTGGAGAGGAACAAGTGTGCACAATGTAGGCTGGAATAAGACGTAAGAAATTCAATGCAGCTGGCTATGTCAGGGACTGTCTGTAGTCCTAGCTTCTGTGGGACTAAGGCAGAAAGATTGCTAGAGTACTCGGGAGGTAGAGTGCTGGGATTAAAGGCGTGCGCCACCACCCCCCGGCTGAAAGAAAATTAATTTCAGTTTTTTATTTTAAAAAAATCTCCATAAAATCACAGTTTTGTTGACAGAAGACAGAGCACTAACTTTTCCAGGAATAATGAGAATGTGCCGGCTAGTCAGCACAGCATTCGGGTGTCGCACATATATACACATTGGTTGCTTCTCGAAGAATTTCTTGGTTGGCAGCATGGTGTACTATTAAACAACAATGGGATAGAGTGTGGTGTTAATAAGAGCATCACCTGAGATACTTTGTTTTATCCAAGAAAACATTTTAGGAAAATGTATTGCTTTTAATAATTTTGGTTACCAAACAGATGTATTTTAAAAGTCACTGTTTGGGAGAATGTTGGAAAGTTGTGTTTTTTTTGCTGATTAACATTGTCTTCTTTCTAGCTCCCAGATGGACGCATTATTAAAGTTGGAGGAGAGAGATTTGAAGCACCAGAAGCTTTATTTCAGCCTCACTTGATCAATGTTGAGGGAGTTGGTGTTGCTGAATTGCTTTTTAACACAATCCAGGCAGCTGACATCGATACCAGGTACAGTAGACAGCATTTCATGGGCCACAGAGACAGCTCAGCAGTCAAGAGCACTTGCTGCTTTTCCAGAGGACCCGTGTCAGAGTGCTCAAAACTGACTGTGCTCAAAACTGACTCAAAACTCGCTGGCCTCTGGGCACCTGTGTTCATGTGCATGTATCGGCATGCATACACACACATCTCAACATGGTTTAAAATAAGAATGCAATCTTCTTTTAAAGAAAGAAATATAAACTGAATGAGCTGTGATAAGAGTGCTATTAGCTACATTATTGCTTCTCAGAAGCCTCTTTAAACATTTTTTGAAGATTTATTTCTATTTTATGTGTATGAGTGTCTGTCTACGTGTGTGTGTGTGTGTGTGTGTGTGTGTGTGTGTGTGTGTGTGTGTGTGTGTGTGTGTGTGTGTACGTGTACCATGTGCATACCTCATGTCCATGGAGGTCAGAAGAGGACATCAGATTTCTTGGAACTAGAGCTACAGAGGGTTGTGAGCAGCCATGTGGGTCCTGGGAATCACAATCGGGTCCTCTACAAGAACAAATGCTTTTGACTGCTGAGCCACTCACCAGACCCCACTTAAAAGTTACTGTTGAAACAATTTAAACTCAACAGAGAAGTAGCAAGCCTAATACACAATATATGTGTGCCCTTTATCTAGTTTTCCTCTTCTGCTAATATTATGCTTATTTGCTGTGTTTATTGCTGCTGTTTCTTTGGGGGGGCATTTGAGAATAGATTGAATCTATAAATTCTCTCTTTTGCAGTCCTAAGAAAAGAGATACACTTTTATAGTCTAGTATGTCATTCAAGAAATTTATTATTGATGTATGTAGTGTCATATTTCCATTTTATGCAGTGTCCCTGTAGTGTCCTTTGTACAGTTGTCTTCTGTCTGGGAAGGATCAGGGGTAGACTCTTACATATTTAGTCATGTCTCTTCATTACCTTTTTTTCTGGTACAGTTCATTGTATTGTCATCTTTGCAAAGTTCAGACTAGTTATAACTACTTAGATTTCTTTAAATTTGCACTCAATATTTTCTCATAATTCAGGTATGCATTTTTGACTAGAATGGTGTGTCCTAAGGACATCACATCCCGAAGTGATGTTTCTTACTGGTGACACAGATGCTCTCAGTGCAGCACTACTTGAAGTTGACTGCCTGCTCCAGTGCATGCTCTGTTTTTCCTTTCCTAGTTAGGAACGTGAAAAAGCACATTGAAACTATATAAATATCCTATTGTTAGCTCCCTCTGCTCTGTCCATTGATGACCTATCCTGTTCCTCTAGAACCCACACTGGTGGTGCCTTTCCTCAGCACGCTCTGCCCCCTCATATCCCTTGATTAATCTTGCCTAAGTTCGTTTTTATTACTAGTTATTATGTTTCCCCTTAACATGTATCTACTTTTGGATTTAGTTACAGTACTTGACTAGCATACATGAAACCCTGGGTTTGATCCATGACGTGGTATGGCATGTGTTTTAATTTCATTACATTTTTATCATTTAGTTTTAGGAGCTGTGGTTTGTTATATTTGTTATGTCAGTGTACAAGGCTTCCCTTCTGTACATCTTCTCTTCCTTCCCAGCTGTGAGTCACTGTCCTAACAGGTGTGCAGTGATTGCCATTTAATTTACATTTCTGTGATGATGGGGGATGTTGAGCTTTTTTCTCCTTTGGTATGTCACCTGGGTGTTTATGCATCTTAGTTTTATTGTTGCGTCATCCGCCACAGTCTTATCTAGCAGATATTTGAGCCTCTGACCTTCCTCCTCCTCCTCATTGTGCACCCGGCTTATGCGGTGCTGGGGGAGGAACCCAGGGCTTCGTGCTGCTAGGCAAGTGCTCTGCTGAGCTACACCCCTACCCAACACCTCAAAATAAATAAATAAGTAAGTAAGTAAGTAACGGTCCGTTTTCCTAATCTGAAACTGCAAATATCCACTGTGTCTTACTAGATCTGAATTTTACAAGCACATTGTGCTTTCTGGAGGGTCAACCATGTATCCTGGCCTGCCATCAAGGTTGGAACGAGAGCTTAAGCAGCTTTACTTAGAACGAGTTCTAAAGGGAGATGTGGAAAAACTTTCCGTAAGTATCTATATAACTGTTGCCATTGCTTAAGCAGCTTTACTTAGAACGAGTTCTAAAGGGAGATGTGGAAAAACTTTCCGTAAGTATCTATATAACTGTTGCCATTGTTTTAAAACGCTGTAATGTAACTTGTGGCTCTTGACAACCACTAGATGGAGCAAGATGTCTTACAGACAGATTCCTGTGCAGTTAGCCTCTGGAAGACTTGAAAGACCTCAAGAGAAATTGCCTATTTGTCTCCTCAGTCTTACTTGTGTTCCCAGAATTATCACAGTTTCTGAAATGGGCTTTATTGGTGATTTTGCCCACACTAGAATATAATTGCTGGTGGTTCTTTGGCATGCCCTCTTTCCTAGCTTTGATCTGTGAAGTATACTGTCTGCAGTATTGTTGCAACCTAGGTTCTTTAACCATGGCTTATTCTCTGGCTTTGTCTCACTATCCTTAACTACCTGTTTTAGATAAGATCACCCATTTCAGAGGACTGTGTATAGACACAGATGGTATAGTATTTCACCCACTTTCTCATTTCATCAAATTATATAGAGAATTTAAAATCTTATCTCTGGCAACCATTTATTTACTCTGCAAACTTTTGAGAAGAGGAGAATGGAGTACTACATTCTGGTAAAACCCCACTGAAATTGATTCTGCAAACTCTTAAACCCCTCTCCTCACACATCTTTTCAGTTCTGTATAACTAGGGTTTGGACCCAGGACCACACCCACCAGCAGGCAGTCTAGTACTAAGTCACACTGTAAGCCAGGAAACATTTATTGAACTCCAGCACTATGCCAAAGCTGATCTAGGCCAAGGGAACAGAACAAAACCATGGTAAACAATAAAAGTGGCTGCTGTCAGTTTAAGAACTTACTAGTATTAATAATCAATGGTTATGTTGGGGAGGTAGGAGATATAAAATGGTTGCTTGCTATTGGTAAGGGGGTGTGCACCCCACACCTGATGAGAAAAGGCCTCTGAGGAAGTGTCTTTGGGTCCAAGACCTGTGTCGAGTTAGGGAGTGAGCATCTCTAGTCAGGAACAGTGCAAGGGGCCTGAACTGGCAGAAATGTCCCAGTGTGAATGGAACAGAGTAAGCCAGAGAGGGGTAGAGGACAGTGTCAGAGAGCTGAGAGATCCTGAGGGCTCTGAATTGAAAAATGATAGAGCCTGACTTATCCCTTAACAGAATCTGGAAGCCAAGTGTGGTGGAGAAGGACCTAAGAGGAAGAGGAAAAGAGCTGTTAGAGGCTAAAGCCGTGGTTAAACTGGCTGTCTTAGAGGGTGAATGGAAATGTCCTAAGACAGACAGACAGCATGAAGGACCTAGTTGAGGTTAGAGACAAATTGAGAGCAAGATGCTGAGCTTTTGTGCTGTGTGCTGAGTTGTGTGAAAACAGATTGAGAGTCAACTACCTGAGTTGATATTGAGCCACCAGGGGTAATGTCAGGAAACAGAAAGGGACAGAGCTGGGGAGATGGGTCAGTGGTTAAGAGCACTTGCTGCTCTTGAAGGAAAGCCAGGATCAGCTCATAACCATCCATTCTCAAGTTCCAATGGAATCGGTGTCCCTTTCTGACTGCCATGAGCACCAGGCATGTATACATAAATGCATGCAGCCGAAACTCATACATATAGTTTTTTTGTTTTTTGTTTTAGTTTAAAAAGAAATGGAGGTAGCCGGGCGTTGGTGGCGCACGCCTTTAGTCCCAGCACTCGGGAGGCAGAGGCAGGCGGATCTCTGTGAGTTCGAGGCCAGCCTGGTCTACAGAGTGAGTTCCAGGATAGCCTCCAAAACAATACAGAGAAACCCTGTCTCGAAAAAACCAAAAAAAAAAAAAAAAAAAAAAAAGAAAAGAAAAGAAAAAGAAATGGAGTCACTGGGCAGTAGTGGTGCCTGCCTTTAATCCCAGCACGTGGGAAGCAAAGACAGGGGATCTCCAGATTTGGGGCAAGCCTTGTCTACATAATAAGTTCCAGGACAGCCAGTACTATACAGAGAAACCCTGTCTCAACCTCCCTACCCGCCACCCCCACCTCAAAAAAAAAAAAAGAAAAAGAAAAAAGAAATGGAGCCTAGGGCTGGTGAGATGCTTCAGTGCTTGAAGTCACAAGCCTGATGACCTGAATTAGACCCTAGAACCAATGCATGGTAATAGGAAAGAATTGGCACCCAGAAGTGCATATGCACACGCGCACACAAACACACATGCACGCAGTACATGACAAGAGAAGGATGGGTGGGGAGCATGTGTGCGTGTGTCAGTGGAGACCTCTGCATCTAGAGGTGACTGAAGGAGAGGGTGGGGCAGGAGGATGAGCTCCAGAGCAGATGTGGGGTCAGGGGAATAGGAGGGCAGTAGAAGTTGCACTTAGGAAGGAAAGCTGCTGTAGGACCTCCTGTGGGGAGGGGAAGTGAGAGCAGCAGTCTGTAGAGAGCACGGCACGGCTGGGGAAGCAGTGTCTTCCCTGAGAGCCTCGTTGAGCTCCAAAGCTCTTAGACATTTCCTTGAGGGGGCTGCAAAGATGAGTCATTCATTAAAAGCAGGTGCTGTTGCAGAGGACCTAAGTTTGGTTCCTAGCATCCCATCAGACTTTTAACAACTGCCTATAACTAACTCCAGGGGATCAAACACCCTCTTCTGACTCTATGGGTACTGCTGTCACATATATATACCCACATACAGATGCATGCATATACGTAATAAAAATTAATTCAAAATTTTCTCATAAAAGCACAGCCAGGCTCATTTGTTCTTATAGCTTTTTTATTGTCAGACATTGTTACTAACAGTTTTACAGAGGTCTTTGTAGTCAGAAACATGAAAAGCCCCAAATCTTTACTATATGACCCTTATGAAAACATTTACAAGTTGAACAGTGGTAAGCATAGCATACATGAGTATGAAGTAGGAGGATATTGAGTGCAACTCTGTGGCAGAGGGTGGTTACTAACCTTTAAAAAAAAAAAGGTAGCTGGACAGTGGCACACGCCTTTAATCCCAGCACTTGGGAGTCAGAGGCTGGCGGATTTCTGTTAAGTTCTAGGCCAGCCTGGTCTACAAAGCAAGTTCCAGGACAACCAGAGCTGTCTCTAGGGGTGGAGGGGGGAGGTTAATAAAGCAATGGTATTTGTTCTCAGACTTAACTAAAACATTGTTGTTTTCCACATCATAAATACTTAGATTCCGGGGCCTGGAGAGATGGCTCAAAGGTTAAGAGCACTGACTGCTCTTCCAGAGGTTCTGAGTTCAATTCCCAGCGCCCACATGGAGACTCACAACCATCTGTAATGAGGTCTTGTGCCCTCTACTGGCATGCAGGCAGAACACTGTATGCATAGTAAAAAAATCTTTAAAAAAAAAAAAAAACTTCAATTCCTATATTTTATATATGTGTCAGAAACAATTTAGAGCATATGGTTCCATTGCCTCTTTGTAGAATTTGTGATATCTTCCAGGATAGGTATAGAAAGAAACAGAGGTCTGTATGTCTGGGGATCTAGCATTGTTTATTATGTGTGTGGGTGTTTGCCTAAATGTATGTCTGTGAAGGCCAGAAGAGGGTGTCAGATGATCTGGAACTGGAGTTATAGACAGTTTTCAGCCACCATGTGGGTGCTGGCAACTGAACCTATTTTTCTGGAAGCAAAGTCAGTGCTCTTAACTGCTAAGCCATCTTTCCAGCCTCAGGTTCAAATATAGTTCTGATTATTTTTTCAATGTATAAACTGTTTCTGTACAATAGTAGTCTTCTCTATATAGCTTAGATTCAAGAAGTTGAACCAACTGGGAAATGGGGAGTTTTAAGACTCAGTTGGGCTAATAGTTTTTCTTTCTAAACTAGAAAACTTGTTTTTTTCAATTAGAGGATTTTTGTTTCACAGTATCATAAACAAATCACAGCACTATATTTTAGCATAAGAAAATCTCTTTTCATAGGGTGTCATTAGGTGTTTTTTGTTTGTTTGTTTTGAGAGGCGTCTCCCTGGGTAGTACCAAGTAATGAAAATTTAATCTTTGTATTTTAACTGGCTAATGTAAAAACATACAGTTACGACACAAAAATAAAACAGTATGTTGGCATTTATCTTTTTTCTCCCAAACTACCCCTCTTGTCCATCAATCCTACCTAGAATTGCTCGATTTCCCATATTGGAAGTGTCTTACATGCCCATGGACTCCCTGGGGTCACCCTATGTCCCCACTCCATACAGGGAGTTTCTCAATGCTAACTCCCCCCCCCCCCCCCCGAGATTTCTCATGGCCTCCAAAAGTCTCCAATCACCAAGACTTAGTTGGTTTCCTCCTCTAGTTTTCCTACATTGGCTCTTACACGAAGTTTCCTGATTGCTGACCTTTGAAATTCCCTTTTAGAGAGCTCTCTGTTTTCCTGCTTCAGTTTTGCTTGCCTTTCTGAAGTATGAGAAAAGGCAAAACTTCCTTGACTGATCTCAAACAATGGGCAGGATACATCGCTTCCATTTTATTTTATTTTATTGGAGATTTAAGAGCCTTCCCAAACACAGAAATCCCAGACAAGCCCCCAAATTGTTGGAAATATGACAACACATTCTGTTCTCATCTCCCATAGGCTGGGACTTGGCTGACTTCCCATATTCTCCATCTCATTAGTTTAGGACACACAATCTTATCTAATGAATGATTTGGAGCTTGAGACTTCCCCATTTTTGTGATAATAGGCTCAGTCACATAGAACTAGTCGCATAGAACTTTCAGAGTTCTGAGACAAGCAGGTACATACTGTGCCGGCTAAGGAGAAGGACCTAGCCCTTCTGCTTATCTGTTAACTGATGAATTTTAAGTGTGCCTCATATTGAACATGCATCATAGCAGGCAAGTGTAGTGTACATGCCTTTAACCCCAGCACTTGGGAAGCAGAGTTAGGGGGATCTCTGTGAGTTTGAAGCCAGCGTGGTCTACAGAGAGAATTCTGGGACAGTTAGAGCTATGTAGTGAGACCCTGTCTCAAAAACACCCCCCCCCAAAAAAAAGGAAAGAAGAAATAAAGAAAATGGACCATAGAAATCTGTTATAACCTGTCTGGCTTTATTTGTTTTGATTATGTTTCACTTGAATTTAAGCAATAGAGTATGAGTTTTGCCTCCTAGAAAGGAACTAGGAGGTCTGGCTGGATCTCAGGACAGAGGACATGCACTGGTGTGGATATCTCAGTTACGGTTACTATTGCTGTGACAAAACACACGACCAAAAGCAATTCAGAAAGGAAAGAGTTTATTTGGCTTACACACCCTACATCACCTCTGTTGAGTGAAGCCAAGGCAGGAACTCAAACTGGGCAGAACCTGGAGGCAGGAGCTGATGCAGAGGCTGTGGAGGATGCTGCTTACTGGCTTGTTCATCCTGGGCTTTTTGGGGGGAGGTAATTGTTTGTTTTGTTGGTTTTTTTCTGTGTAACTATGGCTGTCCTAGAACTCGATCTGCAGACTAGGCTGGTCTCAAACACAGAGATCTACCTGCCTCTGCCTCCTGAGTGCTGGCATTAAAGGCGTGCACCACTACCATCCAGCCATCATCCTGTTTTTTCTTATAGAATACAGGACCATTAGCCCAAGGGTTCCCCACACACAATGGACTGCCTCCCCAGCCCCATATCAATCATTAAGAAATTGCCCTACAGTTTTGCCTACAGCCGTGTATTATAGAGGCATTTTCTCTCTCTCATAACTTTAGTTTGAGTCTGACTGACATAGCCACCCCCCAACCCTGAGAATCCTGAATACCAGACAAATCAGTTTAGTTTTACTGAGTTACACTGAACTAGACTCGTGGTGGTATTTGACCTGGAAGAACACTGTTCAGAAACTAAGGAAAACCTGTTGCTTCTAATTCTTGGGCTATTAGCACAGTGATTGGTTGGTTGTCCAGTTTATTTAATCTGGATAATGGGTGTGAATTAAGATTCTTGTCTCCTAATCACAAACATGGGAGGAATAACTAAATGTTTGTGTGTCTGAGGTGCCAAAGCTGGCTGTTGTCCTGTGTAGATTGCTGAGAGATTGAAGACACATTCAGAAGTCTTCTTGAAATGGAGCATTGTGCACACAAGATCTCATTACTCTTTCTCCTTTAGAAATTTAAGATCCGAATTGAAGATCCGCCCCGCAGAAAGCACATGGTATTCCTGGGTGGTGCAGTCCTGGCAGACATCATGAAAGACAAAGACAACTTTTGGATGACTCGACAAGAGTACCAAGAAAAGGGTGTACGTGTGCTGGAGAAACTCGGTGTGACAGTTCGATAAAATGCCAGGCTTGTTCCCATCATGCCTCTGATGCAGTCTTCTTTTTCCTCTTTTTTAAAAAAAAATTTCTTTATTGCCAGTCTTTGAACTCATTCAACTCCAGGACTGAAAGAGGCCTCTCTGTCCCCTTTGACTGGAAAGGTCCAGTTTTATTCTCTGTCTTGGGGAAGCATTGTTTAATTCTTGTTAATGTGGGTAAATCTGGTTGTTTGATGCAACCACTTCTCTCCAAACATAACCCAAAGGCAAAGGGCCTCTGCTGCTTTCCCTCTTTCTAAGTAGGCATTTAGATCATTTCCTGTAGTCTTTCTATTTTTGCTTTATTGCTCTAATGCTGCTAGTTTTAGTTTAGCACTGTAGGTGGTATGTCTTTATTAGCATAAGGAAAAACTTTCACATGAGCTTTTACATACTCTGGGAGGGGGTGGTAAGGGATGGGTGGGCAGCCCCTGAGCCCTTTAGGTCATTTCCTCTATAGTGTTAGCTTTCAGCAGTCAACTGCTGCCACTTTTTAAGTACCCTGAAGCTTGTCCTGTTAACATCTTCAGGAAGCTCAGAACTAAGGTGTTTGGGGTAGGTTTTGTGTGGTGGGACAAATGGGTGGTCTTTCTGTTGTGGTTTTGGCGGGTTTCTGCTTCTGGGTTTGTGAGATGAACCTCAATTATAGGACTCTGATTGGTAGGTTTCTTCTTTTGGTCTGCCTAGAACTGTTTCCATATGATAGGAAAAAAGCAAGTTGAGCGTTTAACTACCATGAGGTTTAGGGATTAATTCCTTAAGTCAAACTATTAGCTGAGAGTGTACTTCCTAAACTATCAGTGAGAAAGTAACATTTTAAACAAAATGTTTTCGTTAAGCCAAATTATAGATAAAAAATTAGTTAGGGTGGTATTTTCTAAACACTGTTGTTTATTCAGGAAGCATTGGAGTAATGATGCTGCAAGCATTCTTGAAAGTTGTACTCTTATGTACCTGATCAGTGCTCCTTGACTGAAACAACAATACACAGAAATAGTTACTGGCAGTGGGTTATAATTGTTGTATTAACATTAACATTGGGACTTGTTGCCAGTTTTTTCTTTTTCCTTTTTCTTTTCTTTTTTTTTAATGAGACCTGGAACTAAAATTTTAGCAACAACAATAGAAACTTTACCAGGAGTCAACTATACGTTTGTACTAAAAACTAATCATGACTGCTACTTCCCAGCCATCTTTTGTTCTTGAAAGAAAAGTGGTTAGGATTTTGGATATGTTTGCAGACCTGTCGGGAAGTCCTATTTATGAGTCCAGTTGGTATTGTTTGTTATCTCAAAAAACATCCGGTAGTACCTAGATGTAATGTGAGGTCTTTCTAACATTGAAAAATGAAATATTGAGACGTCGTATCACAGATAATACAAAATGATAATTCTGGGAGAAATATTTTCCTTCATTTCAAAATACTCTTTACTAATGATGAATTTGAAAGAATGGCTTTTTTCCCTTTCTTTTTGGATGCTTAACATCAGAATTTTTAGTGGATTTTTTTGAGATAACTTTTAAAATTCATTTATATAAAATCAGCAGCAAAAGGAAGTTAGTTTTAATTATGCAGCTTCTGTGATATTAAGTATTTTTTTGCCTGCTTTACCTCAATTTGAACAAATAGGAGAAGTCTGTGTGCATGCTGGACATGCTTAATACACACAACAGCCCGCCAGTGCCGGCTGGTCGGTGTTGGGTGCGTGACTCAGAGTCACCTTGGAATTCCTAATTGTTCCTAAATCATGTTGTCAAACACCCCAGTCTTGGGAGTCCTGGGCCCATTGCAGGACACCTACTGTATATAGGACTGGTACCAATGACTATTGAGGGCAGAAAAATGATGGACTCTTGGCTTTGAGCATGCTTTTAAATATCGGGGTAGAAAACAAGAAACAACAGGGTGGAATCCTAAATAAAACAGTGAAAGAGCATTATCATTTGTACCTTGAATGTAGAATTTGTTTTTATTTCATAATTCTGCTAGCAAACATGACTGTTAAAAATTATGTATTTATATATGTAATAATTTAGAAATTCCATTTTATAGTTTTCCTATCCTAAGGTGAAATAATGAATTTAATAATTTGGGAGTTGGGACATACTGTATGTATTCTATTGGAGGTGTCAGGTTTGAGTCCTTCAAAAATTAAAAAAAAATGTTTTTTTAAAAGATCAGATTCTTAGCTCTTGAAACCCATTGTCACTTAGATTTCCAATGCTAATTACAATTCCTTTTTTATTTTTAAATTAAAATCACCAATGCCTTGAGGGATTTCTTAGAAAATGTGGTATTGGATGTTAACTTTCACAGTTCTGCGCACTGTTAGTATCTATCTGGCAAGTATTTGAGAAATCAATGGAAAGCTAAATATTCTAAATTTAACACAAATATACTTCTTTTCAATTAAGAAAATAAAATCAGATTTTTCAAAGTAATTTGAATTTTGTCTTTGTTTTTCCTTAAGTAGTTTTTCTCTTTAAATTTTTTTTGTACTTTTAGTTTTGCTATGCAAGATGGGTTTAGAACTTTAAACCAGTTAGTCCAAGGTCAAGGGTTAAGGCAGGGTGTTAACAGCCCAGGCTGATCTGGAATTAGCATGTAGCCGAGGAGGACTCTTGAACTCCTGCATCTTCCAGATGCTGGAATTATCGGTGTGCACCATGATACCCAGCTCTGGTTCAGGGTTGATTATTGACAAAACCCATTCTTTCTGGTGAGGTTTTTACTTACTTATCATTGTTCATCTATATTTTATTTTTTATTTTTATTGTGAGGCCAGGTCTCTCTATGTAGTCCTGGCTGCCCTAGAACTGGTCATGTAAATTATGCTGGCCTCAAACTCACAGAGTCCTGCCTACCTCTGCCTGCCTCTGGAGCACTGAAATTAAAAGTTCCGTACCACAGCTCCCAGTCCATCTAGTAGGGTCTTTAGATACAAGAGAATGGATTTAGAGCTACATTAGAATTTGTTCTGTTTTGCTTTTTTCTAAGAGACTGTTTATTTCCCAGGCAATTGCAGGTACTTTTGCAGAATCAATTCTAGATACACTTATGTGTAACATGACTCTCTATGGACATTGTGGCTGATCTGTGTGGAGTTTTTTAGGCATTTTTTTTGTTTTTGTTTTTAATTTTTTCCCCTTTATTTTCATTTTATATGCATGGGTATTTTGCCTGTGTGTACGCGTGAGCTCCTTGGAGTCCAGAAGAGGGTATTAGATCTCCCTGGAACTAAAGTTAGAGATGGTTGTGAGCCCCCATGCAGGTGCTAGGAATCCAATTCTGATCCTCTGAAAGAGCAGTCAGTGTGCTTAGCCACAGCACTGTGTCTCTTGCACAGGTCATTTCTTTTGACAGAGTCATTAAAGCAGGAAGAAAACTAACAATTAAGTGGCCTGTTACTGAGTTTACATTGAGCATGAGGGTAGATAATTGGGTTCAGTGTTTTTGTCTTTTGTAAACTGCATGCTCACAATTCATTGTCCTTTCCTGGCCAAAGTCCACTAGGATATCCTGAGGGTCATGTCTGGGGCATCATCCCATTTCTTGGGTTGCCAGAATAATGTGATATCTATTGTCTCTAGGTGATAGAGAAAGAATCTTCCTACCATTTTGTAGTGTTGCTGTTGATGGAGTAAATGCCTTTGTGCTCCTTCTTACTCAGTGGCTGGCCCCTGACGATGTCCTCTCCTTGCTCTCTTGCTCCTTCTTCCTGTCACCAAGATTTCTCCTTCTATTTATATCTATGTCTGCTAGCCCCGCCTATCCTTTCTCCTTCCTCGATAGCGACGGTTCAGTTCCTTATTAAACCATCAACGTGTTTTAGACAGGTAAAGAATCACAGCTCACAGAGTTAAACAAATACAGCATAAACAAAAGCCACACACCTTAAAATTATATTCTACAATACTGACAGATTAAGTCATAACTTATTCTACGATGCATGTCTTTTTCAAAGTGCACCTAATTTAAATCATGAGTACCCAATTATGCAAAGGCATAAAATAGTAGATTGGATTCTCCCTAAAACTTTACTTAGAGGGCCAGGCATTGGTGACGCATGCCTTTAATCCCAGCACTTGGCAGAGGCAGGCGGATCTCTGTAAGTTCGAGGCCAGCCTGGCCTGGCCTACCGAGCAAGTTCCAGGACAGCCTCCAAAACAATACAGAGAAACCCTGTCTAGAAAAAAAAAAATTTACTTAGAAGATACAACTTGCCTTATTGTGCTTAAACCCCAAACCAGCTCAGGCCAAATTGGCCCTCATACCCAGATGTAATGATCATATTTAGATAGAATATATCTAAGCTAATGATTTCTAGCAGGAGTTTACTCTTGCTCAGAGTTGGGTGTTTGTGGAACTTGAAGTAGGTGGGTATTGGAAAACCTCACTTTTAAGTCTACGTTCAGTAACCTAATGACAGTGGATGTCATCATCTTGTGCCCAAATGCAACACATTTCCACTGTCCCACAAGTTGCATACCCTCTCTATGTACGTGCACTATGCCCCCTTAAAAAACCGCCCATACCTTCTCTTCCCTCTCCATGCTTGCTCAGAGTGACCTCTGCATACCCCCTCCCCCAATAAACCTCTCAAGTGAGATCTGTTGCATAGTGTGATTTTTGTGGCATTCCTTGGCTCCAATGTGCCATGGTAATATCCACTGCTTAAATCCTAACATTGATGATGAGACTCAGATAGGATATTCTGGTGCCTGTGCACTCCCCCTTCGTGGGTCTAAGCCACACTGGCCCTACCCTTTGTACCCAGTCCACCTGCAGCAGACTGACTTTTCAGCCCACCAGTGGTGGAGAACCCCATCCAACACCAGCAATTGGTAAGTTTCCCTCTCAGTTGGAGTAAATGTTTCCCTGGAGCCAAGGGAGTGGCCGTTGAGTGTCTGGACCCCTCTGGTATTCTTGGAGCCAGGAGTGCCCCCAGCCATGGTCTTAAAGGTTACAGTTAACCCTCTTCAATGACACCCACCTCTAACCGTTTTCCTTTGGTGAAGCTTTGTTTTTGAGCACAGTTTTTGCCTTCATGGTACTAAGCGTCTGTGTCTCTTTGGGCTTTTAGCTGCGGCCCAAAAACTGAGTAAGTACCCACTGTAAAGTTGGTTCCTTCTTCATTCAGTCCTCCCTGGATCCTCGGGTCTGCTTCCCACTTGCAGGCCGTGGACCTTTTATCTCCCTCATCCATGGGGGCTGCTCCCTCAGATCTCTACACCTAGCACATGACTTTGGGCCTCTCAACTTACCCATCTTTGCTGTTGAATCTGGCCTCAAAACCCTTAGATAATCCAAATGCCACCCAGCTGCATCCTAGATCCCAACATCATCAGGGACCTCTGCAGCTACTGACGGCAACTGGGGAAATGGAGGGAGGTTCCCTACTTCCCAGCTTTCTCTGTCTTTGCTTCAAGCCTCCCCTCTTCCTGTTCGCACACTCAGCTCCCAGCTATGACATCTGAACAAGATGATTCTTCCACGGCTCCTGGCCCTGCTAATGAGCTCTCATGCCTCATGGACCTGGACCCCCAGCTCCTTCTCTGTCTCCCTGGGTCTCTCCTGCTCCAGCAACAGGCTGCTCTACCCACTGCACTCCGGAGCCCACTTTCACTCCCAAGCAGTCTTCAGCCCCCCTGCTTCTCACTCCTGCCCTACAGTGGAACTCCTCTCTCTGCCCCACCCCCCCAGCCTCACCTGCCTTCTGTTCTCCCTTTTTGGGACACGGCCAGCATGGATGGCCTGGTCGTTTAAGTGAACTCTACCAAGTAGGAAAAAACTGGGGCCTTATGCCACTAACTCCTCTACTTTGATTAAAGAATTCCAGTATAATAACATCCAATCCCATAGACTCACCGTCCATGACATATACATGATCCTGACTAACAGCCTACTTCCTGAAGAGCACAGGTAAGTCTGGGAGCAGGCTAGACCAAACGCAGATGAAATCCACCAAACACAGCACACCTGTCTCGGGCTCAGGCGGTCCTGGACCAGGATCCCCAGTGGGACTACAGTATCCCAGGAGGCAGTCTGACTAGAGAGTTTACAACTTGTCTCCCAGCTGGTCTCTCTAAAGCTGCCCTTAACCAGTAAACTATGAGAAACTCCAAGTCATCCGGGACAAACGCAAAAACTCATCTCAGTTCCTAGAATGTCTCTCAAAGGCCCTCGTTACACTATACCAATCTAGACCCTGAAAACAGGGTAAACAACTATGACCCATTTCTTTTCTCAGAGTTGCCTTGACATTAGGGCAAAGCTTCAGCACTTGGAGAGGACCCCTGACCCCACAGGCTGGCCTTTAAGGTGTACCATTGGAGAGAAAAAAGCCTGTAAACCAAAATACCAAATGCTGGCTAAGGCCATTCAACCGGGTTCAGTGACTGCTGAGGTTCAGGGACCGCTGGGTCAGGAGGGCTGGGCTATCCCAGTCATGACAAGAGTCCCATCAAGAAGGACATATTGGGCTGTCGACTGCCCCTGTGTCCCTCGTGGCCTGGGGACACCAGATCCAGATCATCCACTAGCTAACGCCTTAGGTATGGCATGGATGATTAAAGGGGTCCAGTCTCCCTTGACCCAGCCACTGCCATCTCTGGCAGGGAGCCCTGGGTAGTAATTACAGTATTGGGGTGATTCATCTCCCTCCTGGATACTAGGGCCACTTACTTTACTCAGTCCTCATAGAGTTTGGGGGATCCACCTCATTTCCCTATTGTCAGGTTAGGGAAATGGCCTTACCAGCCTTGCCAGACTCCACCACTCAATTGTATTTTCAGGGGTGTTCCTCTCACTCATTCCTTCCTGGTGGAGCCAACTTGTCCCATCCCCTTATTGGGAAGAGGTCTTTTTAGCTAAAGTGGGAGCCTCTATTTCCTTTGTTACCCCCATTTGCCTGATCCCAGACTCACCAGCAGCCTCTCATCCTTCTAGCCCCTCAACCTACTGGTTCCAACATGCCATTTACTTTGCCAGCCTCCCAGGTGGACCGCCAAATCTGGAATACCCAAAACCCCTCTGTTGCTAAATACCAATCCCCCATCATCATCCTATTATAGGACCTACCCAGTACATGACTCAATCCCAGTACCCACTCTTGCTCCAGGACCTCAGGGGACTTAAGTCTATCATCTGGCCTCCTAAGGAAAAAAACTATGTCACCCCACATCTTCCTCCTTTAATACCCTATACTTGTAGTTTAAAAGCCCAATGGTGGGGGGGGGGGTAGGGCGGAGCTGGAGAGATGGCTCAGTAGTTAAGAGCACTGGCTGCTCTACCAGAGGTCTTTAGTTCAATTCCCAGGAACCACATGATGGCTCACAACCATCTATAGTGGGATCTGATGTCTCCTGGTCTTGGTGGACACCTTCTCAGTGTGAGTGGAGGCATTTCTCACTGCCAACAAAAGGGCTTGAACAGTCACTGA